CTTAAGTTGACGCTGAACTTGACCGTTTTGGGGATAGGGGTTGATCGGGTGGAAATTCTTCACCCGATCAAACGTGGGGTGGATCGAGTGGAAATTCTGTACTCGATCGCAAGTACACTTGGGCGCTCTCCCAGAGTCGCCTGTATCCAAAGGTGATGCTTGACCCGCGATCCTTCTGACGACTTGAGCCGTCTCGCGATCTTGAATCTGAACCGTCAGGTTCCCTGCGTCCGATCGCAGTTTGGGGGGGTGAGAACTGATGTTCTGCCTGCCCAAAAAATCCAAAGGAAAAAGTTTGTATAGACGCGGGTGACTTTTTATTTTACGGGAGGTCAAATTTCCTGCCCGGGAGAAGTCGACGCGTGTCTTTCGTTGCGAATTCAATTATGTTTGATGTCAACCATCCAAATACAAAACCTATAACAATGCCTATCTGCTCGCTAGATTACTGTTGCGTGTTGATTGTGTATGTAAATCACCCCGTTTATCATGTGGTCCACAGCAGATACTACGTAGAGGATCTCTAGGTAGTGGGTCGCTAGGTGGTGGATCGCTCCATGGTGGATCGCTTCATAGTGGATCGCTAGGTGGTGGATAGCTCGGATAATGGGTCGCTCGGGTTGGATTGTTTGGACACTGGGTCGAGGTATGTGATCCACACCAATTATGTTTCCACATAATTATGTGTCCACGCAATCAAGCATTATACACCCAGGGTGGATCGTGATCAATCCCTCTAGTCCCTAACCGGGCATACACCGTCGGATCGCCGTTACTTTTGAGACATCGCATGTTTGATGATCTTGACGATCCACTCTTCCAGCTTGCTCCTATATTTACCTATTTTTAGTACGGTTATTAGCGATCCAGTATTCAGTGATGTTCATCCCTTGAGCGATCCGGTCCTTGTAACTTGGTGATCCAAGCCCTTGATCGCGGATCATGATCGGTCAGTCCTCGATCCTTGACTATACTCCTTCTTGATCGTTAGATAGATTAATCCGCATAATTTCCACAGTCGTTTTCTGTCATTCAGTCGTGTGATCCCATCATTCGTGCCAACGGGCCTATCTCCGAGCGCACTCCACCAATCGAATCGATCTCGCACTTAATGCGGTAAGCGCGGTCCACACTTTCCATCATTATTCTTCCGCGCTTCTCCACACAAGCAGCCAGTACCATGTACGATGGAGGATTTCTCAAGGCGGCGCTAGGATTTCGTACGTACTAGTAAGCCATCTCCGTGTACTGTCGGCTGGAATGGTCACGACGAGCAGTCGACGGGGTACAAGCAGCGGCGGGAAACCAAGTCGCACACTGTCACCGGCGAGGGGGAGTGTTAGAAGTTGAGATTGCGGATGTGGCCAGGTACTGAGTGAACGCCGGTGAAGTCTGATAGGTAGTGCTGATTTAGTCCATAGGCGAGGTATTTTTACTGTGGAAGGTTCTTAGCATCGGTACACGCGTGCCCTGTGGCAGAGGCCGTAGTACTGAGGTAGCTCACTTTATGGTCGGTAAGCCACTGAGGAGGACCCCGGCGGGAGGCCGAAACGCGTCTGGCAAGCGTCCGAATACAAGGTCGTTTGTCATTTGTTCCTCTGTTTATTTAAACTTGACACCAATAAGACTATAGGCAGACAGTGTGTATGTTTCAAGCGTTTAGCGATGTTACTTTTTGTATAGCTAATGTCAGGTCTTAACATCACTTTTCTGATCAAATTCATTTGTCAGTTCCGTCGCGCATGCTCATTTATGTAAGCACTGTATCGACTTGACATGTTTTACTATGTGTGCAAATGCTACATCGATAGGAGAATTGTGATCGAAGTATTATGATGTTCGCTCAACTTGGCGTCATTTTGCCCGCCAACTTTGTTGATAAGGTGAACAGCTTGTATGATACAGAGTGTTCGCGCTGGTGAGGTAAAAACCTCGTTTCTATCTGATATTGAATATCGTTACAAACTGCATACCGCTGATAGGAATCTGTCTCCATCATCTCAACCGCAACGGTCAGTGATCATGAGCTGCTGAGATTGTATCCAATCAACATTCACAGGAAGCTTGTGGCTAAAATTACGTACCAGCAGTCAAAGTATCAGGCAATTTAAATCGTACTTTTTGCAATCCTTTGGTCACTTAAAACATTACATCCTAATGATTTTTGACAAGTTCTAATCGGACGAAGGTCGTTTGACTCACTCAAAGGGATAAATAGAATGTGAACCTTTTCTTTGAAGGTTGACCCCAACACGGGACTCGATGGACAGGCGGCCAGTGCCGTTATCGAATGTATCCGACAAGTGTGAGTAGTGTACATTTCGTATGAGCTTTGACAGGTGTCATAGACATTTATTAACCTTCCTAGTGGAGCTAACCTTTTTCTCCATCAACAATGAAGCGGAAGAGGAGGAGAACCAGCTTCATTAGGGATCATGACGGTATAGTTGGTGGAGCAAATATCCATCAAACGCGCTCTGAACACCGTTTTATCAACGCAATACGCACTTCATGTTTTATAGGACGACGACCTCGTTTCAGCGCAAACAACATGGAGTCAATGGCAGGTACGCCGACTTTGCTGACTTCATCAGATTCATTAGAATGAGCGGGACACCAATACTTGTACTGACACACCCAAGCTACCTACACTAACCACAGTGTAGGCAAATGTGTCGAAATCTCACGTACACTGTACATGCAAAGGAAGGGAATCTACTACACAAACACGCTGTCAAGAGCGTGTTCGTTTAATAGAGACTGTAACGATTGATCAAATACAGCCAAATAAAAGAACAGAATTGGATCTACCGTCACCGTGCCTTAAAATATGACTCTTTGTCTTCCTTTTACTCAAGTAAATACAAGTTTCGATGACAGCTATCTGCTCATCAACCATTGTGCGCGTCTAGCAGCTATCGGTGGTGGTGTAGTTGGTTGAAATAATGGCCGATACCGATCAATGAGTAGAGCAGTACCGAATCTTGCCTTCGACGGCAATGTTCCTTTAACATTTACTCTGCAAGATAACTTTTATAAGATGATATCCTATAAGCGAATATACACATTGATCTGGTTAGGGTGCCATTGACATGTAACGGGTCTCACTCCATTGCAACCAAAATAAAGAGCGGACGGGCGCGAGTCTGTTGTGCAAGCAATTATGATAGTACCAACTCGACTTTCCAGTGATCTTGTTTCGAGGTTACTTTCGATGCCTGCAGTAATCGGTGAAACGTTCCTCTTGCTCAAAATCGAAAAGAAATGCTAGCTACTCAGCAATGTATTTGCGCACAAGAACATTTGGGAAAAATCCTTGGCTACCAAGCACAGTTCCTCCAACGACTACGAAAGGATCCAAAGAGACAACTTCTCCACACAAAGGTCGCGGTAGTAGAAGATACGAGCTCTCGAAGTACGCCAAATTTGTCATAAAATTGCGCATTGACAGTGCGCAGTACGACACAGGAGCGGCTCATACCACAGACTACTGTAGAACAGCTCTGAAAGGCAGCACAAGTCACTGGTCTACACTCGACGGGTTGCCAAAAGTCGATTGTGAAAGAGGACCAAGGTGACAGACATGCTGTCACTGATGTTAAGCCACGGAAATTGCACATGCTACACAGAACGATAACTGCAGCCAATGAGACGCTATTTCTGGACGGTGGACTGCGTTCCACTGTGGCGTTGTTAGCTCAGCAGGACCTTCGTGTGAAGACGACGCATACCGTTTGCAATATTGATGCTGTAAGATTGTAGTAGTGCACTTGGTGCAAAGTAGGTGGAAGTAAAAGTGAATATATTGTGTGTTAAGAACTTGCTTCCTACAACGCTACGATGTGTATGACCAGAGACGGAAACTACAACTTTACCATGTCAAGTCTCATGTGGTGACCGTCCCTCCCTGTCCCATGTGACATCCTGTCACATGACGTCTGTCTTTCCTTGTCCCATGTGACATCCTGTCATATGGCGCCTGTTTCTCCCGTCCCATCTGTCATTCTGTCACATCTCCAGCCAATCAGGTGAGGTCGCACTTACCTGTACCAGGTCTTGCGCTTGACCTGCACAACCTTCTTGACTTGTCAGAAAGAGCATATTCTAACAGATGCTACGTACGATAGTTGCGTATGACGTTGTCGGACAAGAAGTTTCCGATCGCGTATCAATCAGTAACGTAGCGCCGTGCGCGAAAAAAGAAGCTACACCATACCTGCAAGCGAATAGGCCTTGTTGGGAGTAAGTTGGAGGAACTTGGTATATTGTGTCTATTGTATCATCCGCTCGAACGGTGGGCCAGTTGTCAAATGGAGTGTGAGTCATTTCCCACGATAGCACACTTCAACAACTGCTGTTTAACAACTGAAGCAAAAACGGATGTAGTGTATCACCACCACAGCATGGACGGTTCAATATGTAGTGTGTAGATCATGCCAGTAAACATGCGCGAAGTCGAAACTTACGGGAGCAGATACTACATCCAACTTTGCAAATAGGTGGGCGAAGGGTTGTCTGACGTTGGCGTGTTGTATAGAAGCAGCACTACTCACCGAAACTCCGAAACAGGAGAGATGCTATGTACAAGACTGACGCATTGTATTGCGACGCAGAAACAGCATCGAGAAGAAGCAGGTTGAACTCTCTGCGTGATTGGCACCGATAAACACGATTAGTGGGGCGCCATCATCGATCAGATCAGCATCCGAGGTCGTGGCGGGAGCAAGTGATGATGTAATCGAATAGAAAGTGGCCACAACTACCGTCTCCATTGCCAACGTTGTAGCGCTGTCGAGTGGTGTGATGTTTTTCTGTCAGTCCAAAGTTTATCGTGAAGCAACAACGAATGCATCAGGTCAAAACGGACCTCGCATAGTTGAGCATCAGTATCCATGTGAGTTGTAGTGCATCCGCCGCACTGCTAACATGATTGCTTGAGGTAATTGACTCACCCCGCGAGTTCATCGGTCCTTACGCTGTATTTCGCTCTCAGGACTAAGTCAGTGCTCTTCAGCGTAGTAGTCAGGATACTTTGCTACGTGCTCCAACATCTCACGCTCTTGCGCCTGGTATACATCACAGACGCATGAGTACATACATCCAAACAGTCGTGCCAAAGTGACCTGCGAACGTGGCCGAAACGTACGAGGAGATGCGGCGTCTTGACGTCGTACACATCTTCAAACATCGTTTCCAACGAAGGCCGCTCTTTCATCTCAGCCTGCTGCAGTGCGGCAAGCACATTCGTCCGCTCCTGGTCTTGCATGTGTCGGTCTTGCTCCTCTGTAATCCACCCGCGTTTCTGTACAAACAACACGCACAAGTTAGTTTGGCCCTCCTTCTTTGCCGTTCACGACCAGTATCTACTTGCCATCAAATAGCGCTTCGTCCGGTCGATTGGATCGCAGGTCTCTTTCCAGCGCTTAATCTCTGCCACGGCACGGTACTGCGTCGAGTCATCCGAAGTCGAGTGGTGGCCCTGGCGGTAGGACATGGCTTCAATGAGCACCGGTCGATTCTCCTTCAATATGAACTCACGAGCACGTCGCGTGACTTCATGCACAGCCAAGAAGTCGTTGCCATCGACGCGCATGACAGGGATCCCGTATCCACTGCCTCGTGATGCAATACCGTCTCCTCGAAACTGCTCGACAGTAGGTGTACTAATCGCAAAGCCGTTATTTCGGACAAAAAACAGAATCGGACAATCCTTCGTCGAGGCAATGTTCAGCGCAGCGTGGAAGTCGCCTTCACTCGCCGCTCCTTCACCAAAGTAGCAGACTGCTATGCGGTCTTCTTTGGCCAGCTTGAACGCGTACGCCGCTCCTGCAGCCTGTGCAACATCAACATTTCACCAGAAGCATCGACAGCTAATGTTAGCGTACGACGCCACGCATAAAAACGAAGCATCCTCAAACAACAGCTGCGTGCCTGGGGAAGCTGCGTGGCCAATGGCGACGATATGGTCTGGTGATTGAACTGCTTGGAGCCATAGTGCACTGGCATCTGACGGCCTTTGCCATGTCCGTCCTTGTTACTAAAACACTGATCGGCAAACGCCTGGAGCGAAAACCCGCGCCACATGAGCACGCCAGGCTCCCGATACTGGGCAAACACCATGTCCCGAAGACGCAGCGCCGAGGCACTACCAAACGAAATGGCCTCCTCGCCAAACGACGTCATGTAGAACGAAATGCGGCCTTGACGCTGCGCGTCGTACAGAATATTGTCCATTGTCTGCACCATAACGTCACATAACGTCACACGATAATAAGAGAACAGCACCATCGACATCCATTGCTGCACACAAAAGAGGCCACACACAAAAAGTGCTCAGCAAGTTACGGACATTCAAGCGGATCATTTGGCGGTAAATCTTCGTGCAGAGGTCACGACTGAGCTGCGGATCCGTCGCCCCGTCCATAACATCTCCGTCTTCGTCGATGACTATTGCAACCAGAAGAGCCACAAAAAAAAGAAGAACAAGAGCCACAAAAAGAACCAGAGCCACAACAAAAAAGAGTCAGTGTCAGGAGGACAACTTGTCAGCTCGAGGGCAACAGCTCTACATGTCACATATCGATCGTACTGCGGAAACACGGGAGGATGGCGTTGTGTTGCGGGTCTTGGAACACCACATGGGGGACGAGCGGCATCGACGTGCCGGGGAAGAAGCAGTTGCTGGACGAGACGGTCGACAGGTACCGGCGACGGACGAGGCGGGGCAGCTGCCGGGCGATGGACGCGGCGTGGAACATGTGCGCGAGTCGAGGCAAATGGCCGAGTCATGTTGACGTTGCAGTTCGCGCGCGCTGCTGCTGCTTCTAATCACGGGCTGCATCATTGATACCTGCAGAAGTCGATTAGGGCAGGGTTATTGACCGGCGGTAGAGGGTTGGGCGAGTGCACGCGACCGGACGATGGTGACCTGTGGAAGAGTGTAGGATCCGGATACGGGTGTGGGGGCTCTGCGACGGGTGTGGGCAGGGAGAGCTTTGTGTGTCCGCCTATTGGGTGACTCGTTTGTGTCATGTCATTATCCGGCGAGCAGGCACTCACTCGTGCGCAGTCATGCTCTTACGGGCAATGTGGTCGCTGTTGAAGTGTGGTAGGGTTACAGCTAGCTCAATGTACGAAAGGGAGCGATTTGTCGTTGACACGAGCTGAGTTGTTATAAAATGAGGTGACAAAAACGAAGATACTTTGTTGCAGAGCAGTTTGGTCGCACAAAAGACCATCGACAAAATGCACTTTTTAGTCGAACCTCGTTTTGTCCATTCGCACACTTCTTCACGACATGACGAAACTCTTGCAGCGCACAGTCACGCGCAACTTTTCACTCAGTGTTGGCGCAACATTAGGCAGCAATACCACCGCAAGCAGAAGTGCAACTTGTCAGCATCGGTGGCGCAAGGCCGTCGTCTATTGTGCCTGCCCCAGTGCGAAGTGTCTCACACGTCGCAGCTTCTTTCATTTCGATCAATCACATCGTTGTGTGAACGCATTTAGCACACTATATTAGCCAATCTCTTTCTACGACAGGTTGACTGGTCGCTGCTGGACGCAAAGAAGCTTTAGCAGGAGCACTCGCAGTGGCATCGCAGACGACACGATGGCCAAGAGTCTGCGCTCGAAGATCAAGCGAAAGTTCCGCACAGAGCTGCGCAAGCGTATTGGCGTACCACACGAGGCGATTCGGGAGGCAAAGATACAAGAGAACCTCAAGAATGCGATTGCCGCGCAAGGTACGAACGTATCAGTGGTTGTTGTTGCGTTCTGCTATCGTTGCAATGGTCTTAGCTGTTTTTGCGATCGCTTTGATAGGAACTGGTGCATCAGTAGCAAGTCTCAAGAAGCTCATGGGTACTCCAGTGCCTATGTCTAGTAGCGTCATCACTGGAGTGGTGAAGGAGTCTACGCCAGAGGAGACGGCGGCAGCGCTGGACGAGGAGACTGATGTCCCGATGACGGACGTGAAGAAGGACAAGAAGGACAGGAAGCGAAAAAGGAAGCCCAAGTTTGTGCACTTCCATCAGCTGCGCAAGAAAGGCGTGTGAGCTGGTGCTGAGCTGAGCGCGATCAATGGACGCTCGACAAGCAGCTGGCGCGTCGCGCGCGGCTGCTTTGTCTTTGTAATCTGCCATTATCCAGTATATTTGCTTGTGCATGACTGTTGAGCGAGTTGCGCGTGTCATCGTTGCGGAGCGCGTGTGTCGCTGAGTAGAACTCGACTTTGTGGCGCTAGCAAGGGCTTCCACGATGGTTGACCAGCCGATGTCCTGCCCATAGACTAGGGCCGTTTCCCAGCGCTACAGACTTGTCCACGATGTAGCAAGTTGCAGGACTTACAAAGCTGTGTTTCTTGCTGTAGGAGAAACACGTACGCAAGTGGCGTCCATCTCACGTAGACCAAGCTGCCATGCTGTAGCGCAAACGCACTACTGCAGCCATCGTGTCTTGCAATCGACGCCGTTGTGCCGCGCATTTCACGTGGCGTTACTACCCGCGCGTGTATTGTGGCATGCTACAATAATCCTGCGACTTCCCCGACACGGACAGCATTGCGAAAATGTGCCCGATGCACATCCACTCGCTACGATCGATTGACAAGCCTCGTGCTCTGGCCAAATGCACAGTCCAGTCATGTCTTTTCCACCGGCTCCATGACTCGTTTCCTGCTACAACACGACGCGCGCACAGCCGCCCCGTCCTTCCACTCGACATTCTCCTTCCAGATGCGGTCATCGCCTTCATACTGCTCACTCTTCCAAATAGGCACCGTGGCTTTGAGTCGATCAATGGCAAACGCACAAGCTTCCAGCGCCTCTCGTCGATGTGGCGAGCTCACTGCTACCACGACACTAGCCTCGGTCACGTTGACGACCCCCAGTCGATGGCACAGCGCTACACGCACAACGTCTGGCCACTGGTCGCGGATGGCGCGACAAATCTTGCGTAACTCTGATACGGCCATGGGCGCGTACCCCTCGTACTCGAGTCGTACCACATTTTTGCCTACACCGCAGTCGTCACAATGGACAGTATCCGATTAGGTCAGATCGGTCTATACAACGTCAGATTCGGTCTTGCGTGCCCATCGGAACTCTGCTAACTTTGTGACGGCCACAGCACCTTGAAAGTTGTCCCGCGTCGTACCGACGAACGTCGAAATAGCGCCAGCACGGGCATCGGTGACAAGGTCTACAATCCGCTGACTGTCCAGTGGTTCGTAGCCGACCTCCACGACGTCGCCGCAGTCGCTGTCTGTGTCTGCAGGAAGCGACGCCATGTTTTCGATGTAAGCTGTCGTAGATGTCATCAAAGAAGTGGAAGTAGTAGTGGAAGTAGTAGTAGTAGTAGTAGTAGTAGTAGTAGTAGTAGTAGTAGTAGTAGTAGTAGTAGCAGGAGCAGTAGTAGTAGTAGTAGTAGTAGTAGAAGTAGTAGCAGCAGTAGTAGAAGCAGCAGTAGTAGTAGTAGTAGTAGTAGTAGTAGTAGTAGTAGTAGTAGTAGTAGTAGTAGTAGTAGTAGCAGGAGCAGTAGTAGTAGTAGTAGTAGTAGTAGTAGTAGTAGAAGCAGCAGTAGTAGTAGTAGTAGTAGTAGTAGTAGTAGTAGTAGTAGTAGTAGTAGTAGTAGTAGTAGTAGTAGTAGTAGTAGTAGTAGTCGAAATGTGAGAGCTGTAAATCGAGTTCTGTTGGTTGTAGCCGGAACAAAAAGCTACTATTGCAGCTGTAACACCAGCAGTAGTAGTAGTAGTAGTATTAGTAGTAGAGGTCTTTCCAAAGAGCTCCTTGTCAAGCGCAGCCTTCCCGTGCATACCGGTAAGTCGTTGCTCGACCACGAAATACCGCTGTGCTTGTCATTGGATTGGCTGAAATCGCGCTCGATCGCTTTTGTATCAACTGTTAGCGCCGACACGCGAATGGCGCCGTCTGCCGAGCTGTGGCTGTACCTGGACGCCGTCATGGGACAGCAGAAAGGACCCGTGTCTGCTGCGGTGCTGAAGAAACTGCTGCGCAAGTCAATCGTGCAGCCACAGCAGCTAGTGTGGACCCAGCGACTCTCGGAATGGACTGCCGTCGCGAGTGTCGAGCCACTGGCAACCTATTGTCAGGTCTGGATGGATACATGGTACTATATGGCCGAATGTGCGCCGAGTGATGGCAAGGAAGCAGTACGAAAGGGTCCAGTGACGACACAACAGATCGTGCAGCTCTTTGTGGATGGAGCAGTGGACGGCATGACGCTCATTTGGAGTCAAAAACTGGATAGCTGGAAACCCATTGGTGGGTCCTGCTCGCGCCTTGACGTCGTGATGTTAGCTTGATAGATCATTACTGACGCAACGGTTTTGGCATCGTTCGGGGTATAGGCGAAGTGCCGTCATTGAAGGAGTTCTTGCAAGAAGCGAACAGTGATATGGATCGCGAGGCAGAGCTGCAAGAACAGGCCGAAAAGGTGCCGATCGAGCATCAAGTCTTCGAAAATGGGTAAGTGTGTGTACTATATTACGATCGGTGTACTATTGTCATTGTTGCTGTTTAGTTGGTGACGAGTTCTGTCTTGCGTTTAGATTGTCGGACGCACTTGTTGCTGAAGATGGCAAGCAGTATGTGTTTGATGCTGAATCGAAAACGTATGTTACACCGGAAGACAAGATTGAGGAAGAATTGGCATCCTTGCAAGAGAAGATGGTGGACGCGAATGCGGAGAAACAAAGAGCTAGTCGGTCGGATGCAAAAGACGACGAGCAGACGGTGGACAAACGGAAGACTAGCCAAAGTGAGGGGCCAACCTTGACTACGGAAGCAGCACCTGTCGATCCAACAACTGAACATGTAGGGGCGGATGCAGATGTTGCCAAAAAGCGAAGGGCGAGAAAAAAGAAGAAGAGTGATAAGTGGAAGAGGAGCAAAACGAATACGTGGGTGTATGTGAACGGTTTGCCACTGGACGTCACGGTGCAAGAGGTGCACGACCATTTTGCAAAGTGCGGTGTCATCCAGGCCGACGTTGTTACTGGTGACCCACGCATTAAGCTTTACCACAATAAAGAGAGTGGGGGATTGAACGTAAGTTGCTACAGTAGAACGCATCCTCAGCTTTTTACACTGATGGTGCGGATGTGTGCACTGTTGGCTGCAGGGTGATGGATCAGTGTGCTATATGAAAGAGGCATCGGTGGAGCTAGCTGCGCAGCTACTCGATAAATCACAAATACGACCCGAGTACGTTCCCTGCCGCTGTTCGGACGATGCTGCATTGTCGCTTCGATGAACGCTCATTTTGTGTGCGTAAACTGTTGTAGGTGGCCTATTGATGTATCCCCGGCAGAGTTCAAACAGAAAGGGGAAGACTTTGTCAAGCGGAAGAAACCTAAAATTGACACACGAGCGAAGATCAAAATGTTCGAAAAGGAAAAGGTGCGGTGATGTTGCAGCGCACGTTGTATACCTTGAGTGTGTCTGACACGCTGTCTTTCTTCACTAGGCGCTTTCGTGGAATGAAGGCGAAGTCAGTGAGCCCGCTGGTCTACGCATTGTTGTTATCAAGCACATGTTCACCCCGGCTGAAATTGACGGTAAGTTGGTTGATGAATTGGCGGTGCGCAAACAACTCACGTCGAGGCGCTAATGAATGAACAGATGAAGTGTACGAGAAGGAGTTGCAAGAAGACATTCATGGTGAATGCTCCAAGATTGGTGAAGTGTCGAAGATCACACTCTTTGCGAAGCACGTAGACGGTGTAGTGGTAATCAAGTTTGCTTCGAGCGGTAGTGCTGCTCGGTGTGTCGAAGTCATGAACGGCCGATTCTTTGCGGGACGGAAGCTTGAGTGTGGCTTCTGGGATGGCACGAACTACACACATCGTGAAAGCCAGAAAGACGAAAACAAACGTGCAGAAAAGTTCCAAGAGTGGCTGGAAGAAGGCTCTTCGTCCTCTGAAAGCGAAGCCGATGACGAAGACAAACGACCGGGGCAAGAGGACAAGCTTACACAAGAAGAAGAAGTTTGCGCTGGTCGCACACTTCCTCCCCTCGCCGACGACAGTGACGACAGTGATGTGGAAAACAACAACGACGCTGGCAAGAACGACGATAGCGGTCTTGATATCGGGGAATAGTGCACGTGGAAGTGTGCAGCCTGTCCGATAAATTGACTGTCGTGTCGACGACAATCTTTCTCGCGCGACTCCGTTGTGGTTTTCGTGGTTGCATCGCATATTGTTAGTCTTGTGGTGGCAATCATCGCTGTAATAAGCGACTCAGTTTCTGGTTGTTGCTTGACGGGTCTACTTTTGGCAAATTTGCACGACGTACTACCTGCTCATGCACCCGGTTAGGCGATCTTCGATGCAGTAGAGTTTGGCACTCTCGGAGCTACTGCTACATCGATAGCATGACCACAACTGTTCCGTAGCACCTACAAGGAGACAACCGACAGCTCGGTTGCGCTGGCGTTGCCCGGCCACAGTAATTGTGAAGCTGCAAACAGACCGCAGTAGGGATCACCAGTGTACACTGCCACAGAACTTCGTTACAAGGTTAGAACACCTAAATATTTTTACTACTCGCTTCACTGGCAACCGCACCAAGCGGCGGTCTCCCCAAGCGACACACCTTCTTACAAAATCTACAGCCACACGCTACCTGAGCGAGAAATGCAAACACTCGTACCAGCACCTGGAGTCGGCCAACGAATCGCAGTTGACCTTCACCTGCGCTCCACTGGCAAGCGTAAATATCATCCCGTGTTCCAGGTCGCGCGTCGAGCCTACATCCACTACAGTGCCAAGCCGCTCGAGCTGATTGTCCACGTCGTTGGCAGCACCCAGCACCGCGCCATCCGCCACAAAGAAGCGGCGCAAGCATGAGCCCTTTTTCATCTCGGTAAGCCATCCGCCGAACACAGGCCTCATTTTTTTGCGACGACGGCTGCTCAAGTACTTCTTCAGATTGAACGTTTGTGCATGCCGGCAAGCGCTGCTGATGACGGAGCGCCACCGCTTCGCTGTTTCGTACGTCTCGGCGTGAACTTTCCAAACACGTCCGCTTATCAGCCGGATCAACAGTCCGTTCGCATGACCTTCCCACGCTTCCACCGAATGCGCCTTATCACAAAGCACGGTCTTTGAGTTTGTGTCCTTCGCATAGCCCAATTCTGCGCCGTGTAGCGTAAAGTACAACCGCTTCCAGCCCTTAAATAATCCTGCCTGCTTCCACAACCAGCCTGCGTGGTTCGACACGGCTGTTTGCACATAGCAACTTTTTACAGACATCTTTGGCTGCGCTAGCCTGTCGTTCGCGCTAGCTGCAGCTGACAAAGCCCCGTACCAAAGCATTTGCTCGTCGTACGAATCAGCGTAACATACCATCGACACATCCGTGCAGAGCTGGATCGCTAGTCCGTTTGCGTGACAGTCTGCAAACGATACTGCCTTGATGTAGCCAGAATATTTCCTGTCAGGTGTGCCGTGCTCACCATCTCGGCATTCGATATAGCCCTCAATACGCACGACGAAGAAACAGCGCTTCCATGCTTTGCTTTTCTTTTGTTTGAACATATAGCCCTCGTGTTGCTCCGACGCCGTGAGTGTGTACGACGTCTTCGATTGCGAGTTAAAGTTCTGATTGCGTTCGATGGTCTTTTCCATCGCCCTCAGCCAATGTTCGTACTCAAAGTCACTCGGACAGCGGATCTGAAGTACGCTCCCATCGTCAAACTCGAGATGTAGTCCACAGTGCAGCTCCTTCACTCGCTTTACAGACACTAGAAGCCCAAAACCTTTTGGCGACTGACCCACACCCTTGCTAAATTTGAACTCGGACCCCGACAGCACTGCGTAGTACCGTTTCCACGACCTGAATGCACCACGCTGAACAAAGACCCAGCCTGTATGAGGAACAACCGCTGCATTCGATGCGCGGCGGTTGTCAAAGCACGATGGCCGTGTATCGTTGCGACCAATACATCCTTCCGAAGGGGACTTTTGACAGTGTGTAGACGACACATACGGATCACTCACACGCGGTTCGCGCACCTCCTCCTCCGACACGAGCGTGCTGTAGCCTCGATACCGATGACCTGTTTGCTGTATTCCTGGTCCTTGCTGACCTGCTAGATAAGCCACATAGTTTCGTGTGCTGATAGGAAGCCCCATCACTGCATCGTCTTCTCCACAAACATCACCACCTTCACCACCACCTTCATCATCGTCACCACCATCATCCTTTTCATCATCTTCATCTCCCTCTGGTCGTGTCGCAGGGACGTCCTCTCGTGTGTCGACAAACTGCGTCATAGTCGAAACTGTCGCCCGTCGATTGAGCAGATTGAACGTCCCTGGGCCCGACCGGATGGGGCGATGGCCACTCACAATGGCCTCGTAGTTCCTCGTATCCACTGGTATGCCCACAACCGTCACGTCGCTCGCTGCTGCTGCTGCTTCGTTCTCTTCTGCTCGTTTGTTTTCCTGTCCAGCTGCCGCCATCTTTTCCTGTCTAGTTGGACTCCCGGGCACGAGCGGTACCGTCTTGGTATGGTACCGCGTACCCACTTGTCCTCGACGTCCTCCGCGAGGCGCCGACTCCAGTGTCCGTCGAGCCAAAGTGTCCATCAGGGCCTGATAGTTGCGGGTATTCACCGCCAGACCCAGTGGCACTGTCTCGTCTTCCCGGACCGCCACGGCCTCGTCGTCGTCGTCGTCGTCGTCGTCCTGCTGGCGGTCCTTTTTTTCGGTGAGTAGCGCCTCGTCTGGCGTGACGTGCCGCTCATGGAGCAGCGTCTTGATCGACGTCCGGTGGCCGACGCCGTTCGAGCGAATGGGCGTCACGCGCGGAGTGACCATAACCCGAGTGACCTGCAGCTTGGGACAGAGGCACGAGCGTCAGGATGTCCGTCTGTCGGGCGGTCAGTCGGTCGGTCGGTCGGTCAGTCTAGCGGGTGAAGCGGGTGGCAGGGGAGGGGGTGTGTCGTCGCGGCCGTTAGCGCCTTCGCAATCGTCTCGCGCGCAGTTGACGCCCAAGTCGGCGGGTTGCGAAATGAGCGGCGATAGAAGAGACACAAAACAGGAGAAGGCCGGAAACTGGGCCTTTTTGTTCACGGACCTGCGAGATTTGGTACGCTCGTGGACGCGACGCTCGGTGTATTGACTGGGAACTGGTCTCTGAAACAGCATACGCAGAGGGTTTCGTTCAGGTCGGATTCGAGCGCGCGAGTGAAAAAGGTCGAGACGGCTTTTTGCGTCCATACGGTGTGGTGTGTGTGTGTGTGCGTTTGTGGATCTGATTAAGTCTTTAGAGCAGTCTGTGCCTTTGGAACGCGCGACTTTTGTTCTTGTACAGTCCAAAGGGGGGGGGGGGGGGGGAAGAGAGAGAGAGAGAGAGAGAGAGAGAGAGAGAGAGAGGAAGGAGGAGGGAAAGAGGTGTTGGGGGGGGGGGAGTACAGACGCTGGCGAACCCAAGAGGGTCGCGTCGTACCGGATTTTCCACTAACGGGTTAGAGAACGGTCGGTCGCCTGAGTTCGCGATTTGTCAGTAGCGACCGTTTGTTTTTTGGGTCCTGATGACGAGGAGCCGCCGCATCTCTGATACGACTACGTCGTCGCAGCCAGTGGAGCTGACCAGCGACATGTCAGATGTTGTGGCCAGGTTGACCGACCGCCCGCACAGCTGTGTCTGTCTGACTGACTGCCAATCCGTGTCCACAAAAGCTCCCGCGAATCGACAGGCTCCGGCGATCCCGGGTTTCAGCGGTCTCGGTTGCTCGAGCGGTTTCACGATGATGCCGCAGCGGGGGAAAAGGTGTGGGACGGATTTGGTTTTTAATGTGTTCCGTTTGCATTACGCATTTATGGAGCGAGCGCAACGATGCCGTGTTCAGAGGCGTGCAGTCTACGACGGCTCAAAGTGTCGCCCATTTCTGGACAACCGGCGTCCGTCAATTAACGGCCTTGGCTATGCGTGAGCATAGAGGGGCGTCGACAGTTCTTCGAGGGGCTCGTTTACATGCCTCCCTTGAACTTTTACTCTTGAGGCTAGCGGAGTTTCGCTACCACTAGAGGGGTGCCTTGATCCACCGCCGCGACCGCCTGTATTCTAGGCTTAGAAGATTTCAGACTTCTAGCGTAACCATCATGTGCAATAGATAGTCATGAATCTCTCTCACAAAAGCTCCCGCGCTTCAGCAATAGGGTCGTCACTGGTGGCGGTGGCGGTGGTAGAGAACCGACAATCTCAGGCGGAGCAACCAGCCGGTCGAAGATTCAGTCAGCTACTGCTGCTGCTGCTGCCACCGCCGACTACGACTGCGAAACACGCGCAAGTTCCGCCCGGCCGGATCGTCACCGACTCGTCGAGCGGCTGTCGCATTGTTTTGCACCTCTACAAGCACAAACACACGGAGCGCAACAGGTCGCGTCTTGTTCCTGTGTTGTTCTCGGGGTTACCTCTTCTTGTGGGGCACAGCATACACACAACAACAGCTTGTGCGCTGGTCACCTTCTTCTTCGCCGCTGTCTCCTCTTGTTCAAACGGAAGAACAGCAGGGAACTTACGACCCCATTCTTCACGACGCATCCACCGCAACCAAAGTTGCCACTCTCTCTCTCTCTCTCTCTCACTGAAACTCCTCTCCCCCCTTCTTGTACTCAATCTGTGTTCTTGCAGGATACTTGACGAATCTTTTTTCGCATTCGTGGGTTCGCCGTACTTGGGGTTCTCCCACCCTCTCGCACGCCACTTTCTTCACGCGTCTGTCTATCCATCCGTCCGTCGGTCCTCCTATCACCACATGCACAGGCACACCCACTCAACATGTGCCAAGTGGCTATAGCCATCGAAACACGTTAGCGATACGTTTACGCGCGTCGCTTGTACGGCCTTGTCAGACGTCGGACGACAGTCTGCTCTTCGGGCCCGTCGATCCACTACGCCCACCCGCTTTTCTCTCGTCATATTGTGGCAGTCAGTCGTGTCAGCACGGGCAACTCCTCCAACAAACTTCACGTCTGCGGCCTCTTCTTTGCTGCACGTTGGCAGCTGCAGCTCGCAGCGCAGAGCTGACTGGTTGTCTGGCCTTGTCTTGGCTCCGTCCTGGATTTGCAGCACGCTAGTGACTGATTTCGTGGCAGCCGCAACCGAAATGGCGGCCCACCCATCTGCAACAAGTCCAGCGAACTTGTGTCCATGGCCTGTGTGTCTCCCAGGCATAGAGCACAGAGACGCTCTGCTCGGTCGCACTCGTCCTGCTTCATGCCGGACTTTTGTCCAACGCGTGTGTAGATATTCAGTCGGCACTGCTTACCACGTGCACGAAGCAACGCCGACGCTCTGTCTCAGCCGCCAATAGTGAGCAACGCCGTCACCATCTGCAACAATATGGTCACACTACGGAGCCACTTGTGAATGTTTTGTCGGCATGAGACGGTCCGACTCCCTGTCACGGCCTTCTTCCACCAGTTGGTGCTGCCAACACGCTTCGAAGCACTGCTACTGCCTCCCACCTGCATACGCCACGAGACACACTAAAGCGGTCAATTTTGTCTTCATTCATTGTTAGCAGTTTAAGAACATTTGAGCTGCTCGTACTGAGTTCGAAAAGATACTCGACGTCTTTTCCAGTACAGCGCGTCGCCTCGTGCGTTCATATAACGAGTCATAGTCGGCGTGCGCTCAGTTAGTCCTTCGCCCGACGGTCCTGCAAAAAAAGCTCCAGCTGTCCACAATGGTGACGAAGCTCGTCGTTCTCCTCCGACAAACACTCGACTTGCAACGTGCGATGACGCACTTCCCGCTCTGCAACGTCCAACAGCGAATGCAGCGACTTATTCGATCGTGTCAGCGAGTCCAGTCTCGTGTACAGTGCACGCTAGACACGACAGCAAAGACCATAAACATCAGCTCGAGGATACATACGCCTTGCACTACCACGACCAATGTACCGTTTCTTCCTCTTTCGTCCGACCGTCGCTGCTAAACAGGACAAGGTGCACAATAAATGAGACACAAGTCGACATCCCATGATACAACTCAAGTCACAGACGTACCAGCTGACGCGTTGGCCATCGAGCTCACTCATCTGCAACGGAATGGTTATGAGCTGCTGCTGCTGTTCTCGCAGCACGCCAATGATCTGCTTCAAATCGTGCTGTTGTCGGATAAGAGAGGCTATCATTCGCTGCTGCTGCAGGAACTGGGCGGCCGAGATAGCCAGTGGCGACGTTTGCGATGGACCTGTGCTGTCGTTCATCGCAGAGCCTTCGATGGGCTGCGGCGATGACGTAGCAGATCGAACAGCAGACGAAGGGATCGTGGCAGTCTCTCCGCTATCGGGTATTGCTACGCTGGCCATGGATACTGGTGCGCTGGAACTCGAGATCGCTGCGGCACCCGTACGGCTAGCGACAACACCTGACAAGGACACTTTCGCCAGCGCATCGATACTCTCAGCAACTGGCAACGTCGGACGCTTAGCGTAAGCTGTTGTTTCCTGCAGCTGTCGCTGACCAGGAGTGGTCCTCACCGCATCCACAGAGTCGGTAGATGGACTTTCACTTCGCCGACGCGATCGGCGATAGGAAGAAAGTTGTCGAAGACGAGGCATAGACCGCGGCACCCGCTTGGATTTAGCGCGACGCTCGACCGGCTCGAAGCTGCAACTGTGGTGCTGTGGAGCAAGTCGACCCGAAGACCCTTCTGGCAATCGATGATCGCACAGCTGCTAGATACACACGCAGGGTAGCCAAGTCAGATTCTCTCCATTTCCAGCCTTTCGCTTTCGGAAGCAAGTACCTCATCCGAGTTCTTCCTCGAACTAGGCGAGTCAGATGCCATTTCAATTATTGTAAAACGTCCTCGACGCTTGATCCTTGGTAAACAAACGAACAAAAACGCACACCAGAGACACAGCAGAGATCCATGAGCCACACTTTTCCAGCAAAACAAACACTAGCGTCAACTCCAGATAGGTCACCGTCGAGCAGCACGCTGCACGCCATCCCGGTTTTTCTTCAGCGCCGAGAACTTTCGTGACGGCGAGCCAGGAGCTGAGAGACCAGTAGTAGAGAACGACCGCTTGCTTGCGACATCGATTGTCACAGCTTCTGTCTACGATTACAACCATCGTCCATCACGTCAAAAGACCGTATTGTTCATGCAAGCTCGCGGCAAAGCAATGCACGATAGAAACACAAGTAGATGACGAGCAGTAACAACAACACAAAGTGCTACGCACTTCAGACGCGAGCGTGCGATGCGACTCGACCGGCACCGTCACGACCGTCTCTGCCTCTTGCGTCTGCGAACACCCAAACAGCTCATCCCACTTCAAGTCCTTCGTCCTCACGGTCGTAGTCGTGACACACGTGTCGTGCACAGTCGCTTGGCAAGGCGAAAGTGTAGCCACTCGATTGCTACTCGGTGCTTTCGCAGAGCTCTCAGTGTCCTGGAACGGCGACGACGAGCGCTGTGCCGAGAAGGACGAGACGGGAACGATCTCCGTGATCGTGAAGCGGCCTTTTTGCTCCACGCGCTTGTGCTGCGCCTCCATTGCGGTCTCCAGGCGTCGTGAGAGACGTGACGAACAAGCGATTGTGGCACATTCGTAGCCAGTCCTGATTGTTGAGTCTGTGCTTGTCGTTCTACGTCAGGGGCGTGGGATATGTGTGGGGTCCACACCACGAGTACACAACATGCACACAACCCACCCAAACACGCAATTCCTTTTGCTATAAATAGAGCAGGATCGGTCGTGTGGACGTCGTCGGGCGACTCTTGCGTTGCGTACCCCTTAGGCGAGCGACAACGCACTGAGTCGAATTGCAACACACGGGTAAGTAGCACCTGCGTGATGAGGCGGCCCCAGATGGCCAAACAGCTGGTCCAGTGGCAGCATTGTTTTATTGAAGCGTACTTCGCCGCGTATCGCGATCCTTTTTCCATCCGATCCGTCCTCTTGCGCGAAGACAGACTTTTTTTTGTCCGCTCAATCGCAAAGGTCACGTTTTTGGTACGACGACGACTTTCGCGTATCTGCCTACCGCGTGGCAGAACGAACTTCCGCGTCGAGTACCCTACGCGGAGCTTCGCTTGGAATTGGCGCACTGATCGTACATACATACATGCATACATACATACATACATACATACATACATACATACATACATACATACATACATACATACATACATACATACATACATACATACATACATACATACATACATACATACATACATACATACATACATACATACATACATACATACATACATACATACATACATACATACATACATACATACATTGACTTTTCCGACGACACACGTGAGTGCTTTATGAGGACCACAGGTTGTCACGACGGTCTCGATCGATGGACTTTCATGACGGATTTGCGTCAGCTGCTCATACTTCCGCGTAACCTTCTGCATCCCATTGCAATCGACACGTTGTGCGCATCGTTCCATGCGTATCCCGAGAAAAGTCGCTGTTGACTGAACGCTCAGATACCTCAGTCAAGACTGTGATTTACTCAAGCGCTAGTGACAGTAAACATTCGGCAAACGACAGTAAACATCCGGTAAACGACTCTCACTTTTGCGTGTTCAAATCGATCAGTCCTTGATAGCGATTGCCTCACCTGCAACGAAACGAGGCGACACAGACGTGCGTGGGAGGTGCCCCATCACACTACGTCCATCGAAAGGGGTTGTGCGACCAGGTCGATGGTCGATTCCAATGAACGGGACTCGACTCGATATAGCTCTGCAACGATCAACAATGTTCATGTGTCATGTGTGTCGGCCGACATTGTGCCATGAGTTTATGTCGCTGCGGCTCGTACTCACGACGACGTTGTGCTAGTAGCCGTCTCGCAGTCAACGTGAATGCGTCGCGGTCGTCAAGTACAGAACGAAGAACTGCTCGACATGTTTGTCGTCCAAAGAGCATCGCAACGACTAAGGCGAGCACTGATCAAGTCTCAAGTTGCACGTGAAGTTGCTGATGGGGACGTGGCTACTCCATTGCGTTACAGTGCGAGGCAAAAGCGGTGAGCGACACAGAAACACACCAGCAGCGCGTCCACGCCTGCCCTTTGTTTGCGTCGACTTTGAACGTTGCACAGAAGGGCACGAAGGCAAGGACCGCAACTGACGCGCTCACGCACCTCTGTCGTCCTTAACGCGAGGTGTTCTATCGACGTCAGCACGAACATCTCGCGCACGCAGGCCCGCGTCGGTCAGTTTTGGCTACACAAGTCTCTCATTGGTCAATATTTCGAACCGCTGTTGTACCCACTGCCTCGACACACCCCATCGCCACCAACCAACCAGCCACCTGACCACGTGACCACCTGACCACGTGACCACCGCTTCGCTGGACAGCTGGACATCCAGAGCCCAGCAACAGACACGACAAACGCCGATGGTCGCCCGTGCGTTTCCAGACGAGGCTGCCGTGCTGCCGGACCTCGCGGCTATGGAGAAGATTGAGCACGAAGCGCGTCGAGAGCGCGAAGCTGCGGAAGCTGTTCCAGAAGGAGCTCCTAATGTCTTTGAGCCGGTGCGAGCCGCGCGCGAGAAGATTGCCAAGCTCGACTCGCTCTTGGAGAAAGCCAGTCTCTACTCGAGTTTCCTGTTTGCCAACATGGAGCTCGCGGCACAAACAAGCGGCGACGGGGTCGAACCGACTGAAGCTGACACGACTGTCGAGCGCAAGCGCAAGCGGGACACGCCGTCGTCGCCGACGGGACCCAAGAAGGCGAGACAAGGGGTCGACAAGCTGCGTGAAGTGCAAGAAGACGCGGTGCTGGACGCCCACCAGCAGCAACTGAAAAACGGGTCGTTCCCGCAACCAAAGCTCCTCACGGGCGGCACACTGCGTGTCTACCAGCTCGAAGGCATTCAGTGGCTTTGCAACTTGTTTGAGAACGGTCTGAACGGCATATTGGCCGATGAAATGGGACTGGGCAAGACGATTCAAGTGATTGGACTTCTTGCCCACCTCAAGGCGCTCGGAGTGCGCGGACCGCATCTCATTGTCGCTCCTTTATCGACGCTGATGAATTGGGCCTCCGAGTTTCGCAAGTGGGCGCCGCAGATGCCTGTAGTTGTCTACCACGGCACAAAACTGGAGCGGAAAAACATGCGCAAGCACGAACTCAGTAGCAAAAGGAAGAGTCACGTCGACTTTCCTGTTGTTATTTCGTCGTACGAGGTCATGTTGGCCGACGCCAGGGCGTTTACGAACTCGGGTTTTGTGTGGAAGTACATGGTGATTGACGAAGGGCATCGTCTGAAGAACATGGACTGCAAACTCGTGCGCGAGCTCAAGCGAGGACGCTCGGAGAATCGACTGCTACTGACTGGAACGCCGTTGCAGAACAACTTGACAGAGCTATGGTCGCTGCTGAACTTTATTCTGCCGGATGTGTTTGATGACCTCGAGCTGTTTGAGAGTTGGTTCTCGTTTACGCCCGATGCTGTGGCAACTGCTACAGCTACGAATGAATCGGTAGCGACACAAGATGTGCTGCAAGGCGAGAAGAAAATTGAGGTGATCGCAAAGCTGCACGAGATCTTGCGACCTTTTCTTCTTCGTCGCCTGAAAGTCGACGTCGTGGAAGAGATGGTATCGAAAACGGAGATTTTCGTGTACTGCTCCATGACGCCGATCCAGCGTGAGTACTACAAGATGATATGTGACGGAACGCTTGCAAAGGCGATGGAAAAGAAGTACGGCAAATCTCAAGCGCAGCAGGCGTTCAGTACGCGGACGTTGAGAAACAAAGTGATGCACATGCGAAAGTGCTGCTTGCACCCTTATCTGTTTGACGAACCGTTATCCGCAACAGGAGATGTTGTGACGGATGAAAAGATCGTCGAGATGTCTGGAAAAATGATGGTGTTGGACAAGATGCTGCGCGAGCTGAAGCGTAAGGGCCACAAAGCTCTCATCTTTAGCCAGATGACACGTGTCTTGGACATTCTAGAAGATTATTTATCCATGCGGGAGTACAGCTACTGCCGATTAGACGGCAGCACGAAGCTGGTCGATCGCGAAGACCAGATGCAGAAGTTCAACAAAGTGTCTGCTGGGTCCGTGTCGACGAACGATGACGACAATGTCTTTGTTTTCATGCTATCGACGCGCGCTGGCGGTCTCGGCATTAACTTGATCGCAGCTGACACTGTCATATTCTTTGACTCGGACTGGAACCCGCAGCAGGACAATCAAGCGATGGACCGCTGCCATCGGATCGGTCAGAAGAACGAAATCATCGTGTATCGTCTTGTGACCGAAAACTCGTTTGAGGATCGCATGACGCAGCGGGCGTTTGAAAAGCGTAAGCTTGAGCGCGTCGTCATCCAACGTGGTGGGTTCAAGCAGCGCACAACCCCTGCAGAGACGGCCAGACTTACCAGTACGGAGCTGGAGGATTTATTGAAAGACGACGTGGAAATTCGTAAGGGTGTGGAGAGCGGTGGCATCACCGACATGGAGCTGAGTCAGATTCTGGATCGCGAGCTGGTTGTCAGGAGTTTCGTGCGACCGATCAACGATGGACCTGAAGGAGAAACGTCGTCAGATTTGGACGTGATTCCGTCCAAAGGCCATGGTTACGAAGTGGTGGAAAACGCACCGGCATCGATGGAGGGTTTCGCATAAGTTGTTGCTTCGTGTCGAGATAGACATGCCAACGATCGATTGATTCAATTGCTACTTCGAGACTGAGCCATGTTGGTTTCCTTTCGACCTGTCCATTTACATTTGCGGCCGTGCGAGCTACCACGGCTCGAGATGTTTCATGCCGGCCATTTGCTCTTGAAGAAACGTCGTGATGAAAGCAGGAGGAAACCGCATCGTCGACAGGTGGAATACGAGCTGCTGTGCTGCTAGGATACAACGAGGTGGGTGTTGCGCTCGGTGTCCCTCACGAAGTACCTTCTGCAGCATTTTCTCGATGAGACTACAAACAACACCGGCACACGCAGAGCACATTCAGATGTTAAGCGTGCGACAACAACGTTGCGACATCAATGCAGCGACGACGACATTTTGTTGAAGTGCTCGAAAACGTACGAGGCATTCACTCGTGTCAAAGTTCCGGTGATCGGCACGCGGTGATGCACCCATTGCCACAACTGGGCACGCGATATTTCGGCCGTGGCGGAGTCTTCAACACATCCATTCACGACAACAGTGCCGCGCCCGCGCAGCCAGTGCAGGACATACAAAAATGCTACTCGCACGTTCACCTCCACAGACTGTAGCGTTACACTACCACGTGGCAGCGTAAGTAGCTTTCTATGAAGCAAAGCTTCATCCAGAGTAGCACAGTGTGTGCTGGTGTTTCCACGAGCTGTCGAGAACACTTCGGCCACAGGCTGGACTAGTGCTGGATCGTACACCAGCGCACCATCCGATCCAGCTAAAGCTTCCATTCTCTTGGCTGACCGTGCTCTTTCGATCGCTTCGTGCCGAGATAGCGATCGCGGCAACTCGGCAAGAACAAACGGCACCATGCCAGTAGTAGCCGGTGCATGACGACGCTTGCACGTGACTATCAGCAGATCCATGTAGTGTCTACACCAGCGACTTCAGCAAAGCCGCTCATGCTTATGCGACGAAAGTGTGTGATGCTTACCTGAGAAAATCAGACTTCATCGAGACGTACTGCTGACGGTCTGGCAAAACAAACTCGGGCTGATGGCGGAAATTGGTGACGATAGACGCCGTGTAGTCCCACATTCCGCAGTTCAGGCCGGACGAATGATGACGGAGCTCGTAGAGAATCTCATCCATCTCAAAAGCTGCGAATATGTTTTCAATCAGTACCGTTGCCTTGATGCTTCCCTGCAGAGAATACACGACATGCACGCGATGTTAGAAGCTCACCGTACCGGACCGAAAGCGAACACCGATCACAGCGTACGTGCGCAAGTTGGAGTTTTCTCTCTGTGTGCTCGAAGATTTTTCTCCATAGAGCAGCTTCCGTATGCCCTTCCAGCTGCCCCACGTCCAAGACACATGCATGCATGTCATCGTAAGCACACTTGTTGAGCAGATACACATGCGGTCTTGTGTCACCTTGGAAAGATACAAGAACGGCCCCGTTCCCTTTTCGTACAGATGCTTGCCGCTTCATTGTACCACAAGCACATTTCACACGTGTTCAGTCATTCGTGTCGGCAAAGCAAAAACGATTCCTCACACAAGAGCAGGCGTGACACGTACTTCTGGAACAGATGCACTCCAAAATCAAACAACGCGCCGGGCACGACGTGTCCATTCACGACCATGTGCTGCACGGCACAACATGATGAGAACAAGCGCGTGAGTATCACGTGTCTATCGATACGTCAATGCCGTCATGAGCTGCTAGCAATACACACCGGCTCGTCCATGTTCCACGCCCGTGGACGAACGATCAAAAGGGCCGAGTGCTCAGCAATCTTCGCTCCCGATACTTCCAGCACACCCCAGGCCGCTTGCCGTACATTAAAGTGACCCTCGATCGTGTTGTTCCACGTCGGACAATGTCCGTCGTCAAAGTCAACTTGGACGCCCTAGTAGAGCACGGCCAAAGCAAACCGACAATGAGACAGACATAGAAACAAGTCACACACAGACACACACACAGAGTCGCAAGTGAGGATGTCCATTGCCGGTCCATTGCACCAGCACCAACAGCGATATCGATACAACGCACTTGAGCTCCAGAGGTCAGTGCACTGACCAGCAGGTCCCTACTTGCAGGAGAGACGTCGCCTATATCCACGCGTCGGTCCCTCAGCGCTTCAACTTGAGGATCAACGCGCCACGTCTCATCTTGACGGACGGCACGAGTTTCTTCGAGGAATTGCGGCATTGCGCCATGAACTTTCGTTGCCAGGCGGCGGACTTGACGTCGTCGATGCAGCTGCAGACCATCAAACAATACCACACACACACACAAATGTTTGTACCGCGACACGCGCCAATGCAACAAAAATAGTACAGGCAACGCACAAATAGCACACGATCGGTCTGGTGCTCTGTGGCAAAGTACTACTTTGTCGCGTGCTCGTTTCTATCCACGAAAAGCGCGTAGTTCGTACCTGCTGGACCGCCGGGTGAAACGTAGCTGCCAGCTCGGCCACGAACGCGACTGCAGCGGGCGAGAGCACCGTCTCGTAGACAGACTGCGGACAAGCGGTCGGTCTTGACGACACGTACACGTCGCTGGTCGAGGCGTGCGCTGAGGCGCTGAGCTGCGCCTGCAGTCGCGTGAGACGGTCCATGGTGCAGGCGAATCTCGTTGAGCACGCGCGCGTTTCTAACTGGGTATACGGTATACGCTCGTCGCGAAACTCGTGTGTTTTGTCGGCTCGCGAGGAAAGAAAGCACAAAAAAAAAACAACCGCAGCGAAAACGAGTGCGTTTGACAAACGAGCAAAAACGAACCGCTGAAAGCTTGCCATGACTAACAAGGGGTCTATCTGGCTATTATCACCACGGTCTATCCGGATATTATCACCACCCCCCGAGTGGCTCGGCGACTCCATCCGTGGTGAAAAGCGATGGACGTCCGCGTGCGTCTCGTGTTTGCCGGCGCTGTGGGACGCCACGTACAGCGTCGCCGCGGGTTCGCTTCGTGCTGGTACCTGCTCCCTACGGACATGAAGATCGTGGGCGACTTGGCGCACGCGTTGCTGCGGGAGTTTGGGCTGGAGACGCGTTGTCCCAAAGGGTGTGGAGCTGACGTTGGAAGAGCTGCCGGTGCTGGCGTCGCAGAGTATCCGTATCCTTCGGGACAACGATACGATTGGTGTCCAGTGTCCTCTGGTACGAAGGAGGGAGAACGAAGAAGGTGGGGAGGAGGAGGAGATGGAGAGGACGAAGGGGGCAGCGGGACGCCGAGTTCAGAGAGTGAAGTGGAGAGTCCGAAGCTGCGGAAGCGTAAAGCGCGCGGCAGAGCGGACAAAGGGCCGTGTACGAAGAAGAAAAAGATGGTGGACGGTGTAGTGGCTGGGGGGAAGAAGCGACTGGGCGGGGAGAAGACGAGGCAGGGGAAGCGCGTAGTTGAGCAGCGGCAGGCAGTGGAGGAGAAGACGACGAAGAGCAGCCGGGAGAGCTCGAGCTCGAGTAGTAGCTCGAGCGATTCTGCTAGTGCGAGTTCTAGCTCGTCCTCGAGTGAAAGCAGTAGCAGCAGTGAGTCAGAGGACGAGCCTGTGGCTCCGTGCAATCGGATGACTGCGAGGAAGACGGCGGCATCGGGTAAGCAAGGGCTACACAGTGGTAAAGATGGAGGTGGTAAGCAGACGTCTATCTCTCGTGCGCCGCCAAGCACGACAAGTGCGACTGCACCCGGCCAGAATAAAAAAGCACCACGTCGGAGACGACGGCGATTGCGACAGCGGGGAGGTGGCCGAAAACATGCGGGCGACGTCTGTGATATTGCAGACAGCTCCACGGACGTTGCGACACTGTCAACTGACGCTTCGGTGCAACAGGAACAAGCAGTGGGTCCCTCGAAGCAAGTGAAACAGGCCGTGTGTGCAGAGAGGCAAAGCGACGGTAGCGCTGCTGACGTCAGAGGCTATCCTCGTGCTAAAGCGCATGTTCTTTTCGACGAAGAAACTGGAGATGAAATAGCAGTCAAGCGTCATGAGCTGCCGTGCGATATTAGGGACAACCGTTGGACTGATCGAAGGCCCCGAGCACCTGAGTTGGCAAAGTATGGTCCGTCATTGTCAAACAGCCTGCCGCCAAGGGCTGCATGCGACAATCAGGATGAAGTAGCACCTTCCTCTACCAGCATGGTTCATGGAAATCAAGACGTCCCTAAACGAGCAGGAAAAAGCAAATATGAAGAAAGGTGGAAGCGACCGTACAAGATTGTCGCGACTGTGCTTGACAAGCGGTCGGATCAGTCGAGCACGAACGACTCGTTGACTGCGGTACGTTTGCTCTGTGTACCCATCGTCTGACCGCCTTGGTAGGCCGCCACGCTTAGCTAACATGCTGTTGCTGCAATGTCTGACCAGGATCTTACTAAGTTGCTGGAGTCGTATCCGGCAGCCCCTGCGGCTTCGTTCCACTTTGTTCCAAAGGATGTCATTGCTTACAAGACGCTTACGCTTTGCGTTGACACGTGGCAGCCTGTGCTGAGCGAGTGGCGATGCGGCCAAGTGCAGTCGATGGACGTGCCAGGCAAGGCAGTTGATGTGTTGACCTGGACTCTTGCTGTCAACGACGGCTCCATAGCCTTCCATGAAGCTATACACAATGAGCAGCAAAGCGTACAAGCTGGCGAGATCAGCGAGTTGCGATTTCTGAGCGGGCCGAGCTACTCCTCATTGCGGAATGTCGATGCCGACGGCCAGGATAACGCAAACAAGACAGCCGGCAGTACCGAGCAAGCCGTATGTTGAATATGATCAATGACCTGGAACACCAAACATGGATGGCGTCTTGCTTCGTATCTGTCTTATCATGTAGTGCTGGCCATTCATTACAGCGCTTCCTATGCAACTCACAGAAAGCCGCTGATCTGCTGCTCTGTTACTGTCTGGACGTCCTGACATCAGTTCCCGTCATGCACGGCGATATCGTGTTCACCAAGTGACAAGAACAAACCGTCTACTGCAATCGAAAGACCGTCTACTGCAATCGAAAGACCGTCTACTGCAATCGAAAGACCGTCTACTGCAATCTGAACCATAAATGTCGAGGCTTCTGCTGTTCCAAAATCGCTCTCTTTGTCAACTGAGCTGCAAGTCGTGCAACCAGCACATGGCTGTACTCGCCCAGTTGTATAATTGAGTTCGACTGAGACTACACGCACGAATAACCACAGACGTACCATCTAAATCCTCCACAACCACAACTGAGACCGACGGACAATCGACCGAGTGTTACCCACCCACCCGATCAACCGATCGACCGACCAACCGACCACCAGCCGACCGACCGACCGTTACGCGACCAGCGTAGCCCCACGACCGCAGCAAAGCCGACTTGTCCCGCTGCTCGTTGGCCGCTTGCACTCACACGTTCGGACCGTACACCGACAGGTCGTTTTCCGGCAGGATAAACTGCTTGAAGTTGTCCTGGAAGGCCCTCGCCAGCTTGAGCGCCGTCTCGTCGAACGCCGCCTTGTTCGCCCACGACTCCCTCGGGCTCAGCATCGCGGACGGTACGCCCTCCACTCGCGTCGGCACCGCAAAGCCAAAGAGTGAGTCCGTCACAAACGACGCGTCCTCGATCCGGCCGTCCAGCACTGCCTCGACGCACTTGCGCGTGACCGGCAGCTTCATGCGCTTCCCCACGCCATACACGCCGCCCGTCCAGCCAGTGTTGATCAAGTACACGGGCGTCTGGTGCTGCTGCAGCTTCTTCTTGAGCAGGTCGGCGTACTTGGTCGGGTGCAGCGTCATGAACGCCGCGCCAAAGCACGTGGAAAACGTGGCCTGTGGCTCCGTGACGCCGCGCTCGGTGCCCGCCACTTTGGCCGTGTAGCCCGATAGAAAGTGGTACTGGGCCTGGCCGGCCGACAGCTTCGACACGGGCGGCAGTACGCCGTACGCGTCGCACGTGAGGAAGATGACGGCGGTCGGGTGGCCGCCGCGCGAGTTGGGCTCGTGGTGCGGGATGTGGTAGATCGGGTACGACACGCGGCCGTTCTCCGTCTTGCTCGAGTTGAAGTAGTCGGGCGCGTGGCTGACAGTGTCGATCCACACGTTCTCCAGCATCGCGTTCGGTCGAATGGCGTTGAAAATGTCCGGCTCCGTCGCCTCGCTCAAGTCGATCGTCTTGGCGTAGCAGCCGCCCTCGAAGTTGAACACGCCGTGGTCGTCCCAGCCGTGCTCGTCGTCGCCAATGAGCTCGCGCTTCGGGTCGGCCGACAGCGTCGTCTTGCCCGTGCCAGACAGGCCAAAGAACAGCGCCGTGTCGCCTGCTTTGCCAATGTTGGCCGACGCGTGCATGGCCATGACGCCTTGGAGCGGCAGGTAGTAGTTCATCATACTGAAGATGCCCTTCTTCATCTCGCCGCCGTAGAACGTGCCGCCGATAATGGCCATGTGCTTCTCAATGTTGAAGAGCACAAACACCTCCGAGTGCAGGCCGTGCGCCTTCCAGTCGTCGTCCACGATGTTGCACGCGTTAATGACCGTAAAGTCGGCCGCAAAGCCCTTCGCTACGCTCGAGACGTCCGGTCGGATGAACATGTTGGTGACAAAGTGGTGCTGCCACGCGAGCTCCGTCACAATGCGCACGTTGAGACGAGACTGCTCGCTCACGCCGCAGTGGCCGTCGAACACGTACATGCGGTCCACTGAGCTGAAGTGCTGCACCGCTTTCTCGTACAGTGCGTCAAACACGTCGGCCGTCGTCGGCTGGTTGATCGCGCCCCACCACACATTGTCCTGCGACGGCGCTTGCTTCACAATGAACTTGTCCTTGGGCGAGCGGCCCGTGAACTTGCCCGTGTCGACTGCAAACGTGCCATTGGCCACGAACGAGCCCTCTTTGAAGCGCTGTTCGTGCTCCGCGAGCTGCTCGTACGTGAGGTTGTGAAACACTTTGCAGTCGTTGACAATGCCGAGCTGTCCCAAGCCCAGCGCAGCGGTCGTGGTCTCCTGTGGTGCCATTGCAGAGGTGTCGAGCGAATTGACTGTACTGGCGAAGGTGCTGATGAACTGCCAATGCGAAAATGAGCTGCCAAAGTCCGGACGTGGACATGTGAGCTGAGCTACTGCAACTGCACAGGACCGCCATCACCGGCGTAAGAACGGGAACGCATTGCAACGACAAGTGCAAGTTGAATGTGGGGTAGTACGGACGCGTGACGCTGCCGCGTCGACTCAACGCGAGCGTGCGATAGTTACTGTACGTAAACGATCTCGATCGACGGGCCCACTCGTGTCGATGATGTGCGGGCTCTTTGGCGGTCACGGTCGACTCGACGGGTAAAAAGAGTCGGCTTGCAGGAGTTGTCGTGATCTGCCGCGACTTGTATCATTGAGGAAGTGCAAGGACGCGGCCAACTGCTGATGTCTACGACACGGCTGGCCTGGCGCTGCATAGCGGTCGCAGATGTCCTAGCCGTGACGCATTGCAGCCATGTTGCGATACAAGCAGGAACATTAGCTGCCAACTACTGCACAGAATTAACTGTCAATCAAACGCGTCTGTCGGCCATTTTGAGCTGTACGACCCGCCCGTCAGCGAAACAAAGTCGAAACGCTCAGTAGTTTGACGTGCTTTAGCTCGCACGAAAACTCGTCTCTGCTTCAGAGCTGCTCCTCGTGTAGTAGGGAAACCGAACGCAACGAAAGGAGGCGAGGAATCGACTGAAAGTCTACCGATGGACGGCGGTACGTGGCTGAACATGGACATGTAGACGATAGATACCACTGCCAGTCCGTAGAAATGCGACGAGCGTTTTTGCCTTTGGAGCGTCACATAGTGACAGACCCCCGTCACCCGTCATGCTCCACGCGCAATCGATGACGCAGGCTCCGTCACGGTCAATTGATAGCCCCATACCAGCTGTCCAGACTTTCGATGACACGTTCTCCGTCTACGGTGACAAATGTCGCATAAACGAGCCATATTCACGAACTGACAGATGCGCCAGTCTCGTCTCATTCCATATGGTTTCATGGCAACTTAGCGGAGAGCATTGAGAGAGCGCATTGTCATTGACACGTCCACGTCGTCACGTCAATACCGTCGACAAAGGCGCGTCAGACCGTCCTCGTAGGCACAGGTCCCACATAACCGATGCAAGAGAAAGTCCGCTCTCCAAAACATTGGATCGGCTACGTGAGACACGACGTGACGCATCACTTGCAACTCGAGACACGATACAGCACTTGTACTCTCCTGGCAACGTCCATTCGCCACTACAGCCAACATTGGCAAAGCAGGCGACACGGCGCTGTTCTTTGGCCTGTCTGGCACGGGCAAGACGACGCTGTCGGCCGACCCGAAGCGCGAGCTCATTGGCGACGACGAGCACGGCTGGGACGACCACGGCGTGTTCAACTTCGAGGGCGGCTGCTACGCCAAGACGATCGACTTGAGCGAGGCGACGGAGCCGGACATTTTCAACGCCATTCGACCGAACGCGATGCTGGAGAACGTGTGGATCGACGCTGTCAGCCACGCGCCCGACTACTTCAACTCGAGCAAGACGGAGAACGGCCGCGTGTCGTACCCGATCTACCACATCCCGCACCACGAGCCCAACTCGCGCGGCGGCCACCCGACCGCCGTCATCTTCCTCACGTGCGACGCGTACGGCGTACTGCCGCCCGTGTCGAAGCTGTCGTCCGGCCAGGCCCAGTACCACTTTCTATCGGGCTACACGGCCAAAGTGGCGGGCACCGAGCGCGGCGTCACGGAGCCACAGGCCACGTTTTCCACGTGCTTTGGCGCGGCGTTCATGACGCTGCACCCGACCAAGTACGCCGACCTGCTCAAGAAGAAGCTGCAGCAGCACCAGACGCCCGTGTACTTGATCAACACTGGCTGGACGGGCGGCGTGTATGGCGTGGGGAAGCGCATGAAGCTGCCGGTCACGCGCAAGTGCGTCGAGGCAGTGCTGGACGGCCGGATCGAGGACGCGTCGTTTGTGACGGACTCACTCTTTGGCTTTGCGGTGCCGACGCGAGTGGAGGGCGTACCGTCCGCGATGCTGAGCCCGAGGGAGTCGTGGGCGAACAAGGCGGCGTTCGACGAGACGGCGCTCAAGCTGGCGAGGGCCTTCCAGGACAACTTCAAGCAGTTTATCCTGCCGGAAAACGACCTGTCGGTGTACGGTCCGAACGTGTGAGTGCAAGCGGCCAACGAGCAGCGGGACAAGTCGGCTTTGCTGCGGTCGTAGGGCTACGCTGGTCGCGTAACGGTCGGTCGGTCGGCTGGTGGTCGGTTGGTCGGTCGATCGGTTGATCGGGTGGGTGGGTAACACTCGGTCGATTGTCCGTCGGTCTCAGTTGTGGTTGTGGAGGATTTAGATGGTACGTCTGTGGTTATTCGTGCGTGTAGTCTCAGTCGAACTCAATTATACAACTGGGCGAGTACAGCCATGTGCTGGTTGCACGACTTGCAGCTCAGTTGACAAAGAGAGCGATTTTGGAACAGCAGAAGCCTCGACATTTATACTTCAGATTGCAGTAGACGGTCTTTCGATTGCAGTAGACGGTCTTTGCTTGTAACGAGGAAACACGGTATCATCGTGCATGATTGGAACTCGATGTCTAGACAGCGACAGAGCAGCAGCGAAGCGGCATTTTTGCGGACTGCATAGGGAGCGCTGTAATGACTAACGCATCATGGGCACTAAGCACAACGTATCATGGGCACTAAGAGTGCGTCGACAAAACTTGGATTTTACTGTCGGAAGTTCAACGCAGTACGACGAGCACAATTCGTTTCGGCCTTTTCCAGGCACATTGGTGCATGTACCGTCGAGTGTTGACGTGGCAGCCACTTCGAGCATGCACCTTGAAAGGCGTCAAGGACGGTGTGTCGAACGCTGGAAGTCAGAATCTCGTGCTGACGTTTCCATGCAATTTTACGAAAGACAGCTTATACAGGAGATACATAGAAGACGAAGCAGAGCAGTACAAAAGGAAGCTGCATCGATTGATCATTTTGCGCTTTTGTACTTGGCGCTAGGCATCCTTCGCCTCAAAGACCACTTCACGTCGGACCCATTGACACAAGCAGCGAATACCTATGTCCCAGCGCATGTATTCATCTCGCCCGGCATCGAAGAGTTGCAAACCACACAACATCGTAAAAAAATACAGCTAACAGAAATAACAGCAGATATTTTGACGGACCCCAATGTTTACCACGCGTTTGCATGTTTTTCCCACACTACAACCAAAACGTCGCAAGCTAGTTTTTACCAAGCACGGGGTTCTAAAAAGGGTGCATTTTGTCTACTTCAGTAGTTCACTTCAACGAAATCATGGATTGTATCCAGCCTTCTTCAGAAGATCAGCTTGCTAAACGAGAAAGAGACGCCTTATTCGGTGGCTTCACGTAACTTGCATCGGACATGAAGCTACAGTCAGAATTGTCCATCGAGCTCACCCTACTACACTGAGAGGTACGCTTCAACGTGAATGTAGACTCGAAGAATTTGCTCCTGGTCGAATACGTTCGTTGGGCGCATGGATTACGCTTACGGCGATCGTGACAAACTCAGCCATTAGTCATGTTTTCTTCTTTGGAAAGACGTCATCAAAGTTGTAGTGGAGCTGGTACAGCTCCTAACTAGAGGAGGGTTTTCTGCTCAACGAGCAAGTTAGTTTTTACAAAAGAACTCGACTCTACGAGTCAACAAGCTTAAAGCTCAAGGTCTAAGGGACCTAACGATTCAAGGAATCGGCTGCCCAACGTGCTCAGTAGTCTATACCTGAACAAGGCTTGGCTCTTCTTAACGATCTGAGACGCCTTAGCAAGGCACGTGTCTCTAACCGATCAAAAGGGGAACTGAACTTTATATTGTTTTTTTTGCGAAAGAACACCTTAGCCCAAGCGTACCGAATCTAAACACTTATGCTCTGAATGTGTACCCTTTTGAGATCCTGTATCTCGTGGGTGACACACGTCAGCCCGTCAAGTTTTGGCGACAAGTTCGGCGTCAAGTGCTTTTTACAGGCTTACTCCATTTACATCACACATCTACCACGGCAATACAATGGGTATACAATTCACGACGCACGGCCTATTCCCAACCGCCGACTTTTCTGACGGGTACGCGATTATTTCAAACTTGGCGGGATTCTCTGCATTACGCCACTTGATCAAAATCGAGTCCTACAGCCGACCTCTCGATTCTTACTTTATCTGCCAATATTCTGCAAACGCTTTTGCGACAATGACGATCAGCATACACCGGTAATCGAAACACATCGATGCAACATACAGCGCAGCAGCAGCGTCACGTGGCTGAGACTTGAACCGCCCATTTAGCTTGCATACGGTCACAGAACGGCGATTAGCTTAGGGCTCTGATTACTCACAGTTGCAAGCATATCGCTGACAACGCCTTTCGATGCATTAGCTTGGTGCAGCAGGTCCAGACTGTCTTCACACAGCGCAAGCACTTGCTCTTTCTGCTCCAAAGTTGGCGAAAAGTCAGCACCATTGTCAAGCAGCTCGCAAAAAGCCACAGCACGCAACAAGCCAACGAGGATCTGCTCGGTATGTGGTGCGATGCGAGGCCACGCAGCGAGTACTGTAGCCCGTACACTTTCGAGTGTCTCCACTAGAAGCGCGACATTGACACTCTCGAAACCGGCGACCAAAACCTTCAATAGCGGCTGTAGGTAGCGAATGATGTTGAGGCTGTGCGGTGCTCCCTGGCGGACCACGAGAACACGCAGGTGGCGCACAAAGACGATTCGCAGAGCAACGTCGCTGCACAGACTTGTGTCACTAAGCAGCCGCGGCATGAACCGGTCGTAGTGCTTCAGTTCACCCGGGGGCGAGACCTTGTCGAGGGATCCGGTAAGACAGTCCAGCAACACGTCAAGAGTACGTGGTTTGCGGGAAACAATTGCAGTATGTAGCACCTCAAGCAGTACGTCCGAGTACCATCGCAGCTCAGTAGGCGTGACATTCTGGACAATATGGCGCAGCAGTTGCGCCCCAATCAATTGCGTCGAGTCCGTCAGGTCGTCGACCAACGGGAACGTGAGTGCTAGCAGCCGACCAAGTAAGTCTCCGCCAAGATGTGGGAATCTCACGTGCTCCACTACATGTAGCAACACTTGCTTGTGAATTGATGTGACTGCCACCCACTCTTGTTTGTCCACGTCGTGCGCACACAATGCCACCATCTGCGCAACGTATGCCGTCACGAGTGCCTCTCGATCGTGTGCATTTACAAGAAGCAGAGCTTTGTCCAGCACTTTTTCAGCTACGACAGTACACTGCATCAGCTCAGCTCCTGGTAGGTCTGCCCCAGTCACAAAGGAACAGGCCGTGAGCACGAACGGCAGCCAGTGGCTCAATGCCTTGGCATCGTCGTCGTCCCCGCCATTCTCCTTCTCCTCCTGTGACGCCCAAAGCGTCAATCGGTCGATAAAAGTCCCCATTACGTGCAAAAGTGGCACCAACCGATCGTCGAGCGCCACTAACACTGGTACATTCCGCGTGTCTGCAGCTGCTATTGCAACACATTTGATCCCGATGCGACTGAGGTCTCGGACAGCGCGAGCGGCATCAGGAACAAGCGCCTTTAGCTCATGGTCTTTCGAGTGCACTATCGTGTCGGCCAGTTGCTGCACGGCCTCGAGCTCCCGTGGACACTGCGAGGCATTGGCCAGCAGCTTTTCGCGGAGCTTTGCGATGTCGAAAGTTTCGATCATTTGTATTGTGTACAACTTGTGTGGAGTGCGAGTATGTGCGTGCGAGTAAGTGCGTCGAGTTTTTTTCACCGCACGTAAAACCGTTTCTTTCTCGGCTTTTATCTGTTAGTTTACTCGTGTGTTTGTTTTAATGTGTTTATACGTCTTTGACTAAACTTGAGCGCTTGGATCAAAATGACGCTGGAACACGCTGCCATGGACGCGCTCACTCGCTTAAAAGTCGGTCGCTCTTGCGCGTCATTAGCTCGTGGAGTGGCTACACTAACGTCTTGTTGATGTTGTGTCTTTCCTGCTCTCGGCATGTTGAACGGCTCGTTGTGTGCGCAGGTGAAGGATCTGCAGCGAGAGCTCAAGAAGCGCGGCCTGGACGCGAGCGGATTGAAAGCGGTGCTGCTTCAACGACTACGAGATCATATGCAGCAGGTAGTGGCGAAGCGATAGAGGTGCTGATAGTAGAGTGGTCGAGAGACTGACTCGGTCGTTGATTGTGCACAGAACGAGGTCTTGGAGACGCCGGAGAAGGAGGAAAAAGAGGGAAGAAAGGATGAACTTGTGGAAGTTGAGGGAGAAGAGCAGGAGAAAATGGAGGAGGTGAGATCGGAGGAGGAGGAAATGGTGGAGGATGTCAAGGAGGAGGAGGAGGAGGAGAAACAAGAGGAGAAGGAGGAGGAAGAGGGGAGTGAGGGGGAGAATCAAAAAGAGGAAGAGATCCAGCGAGAGACGGATGAAAAGGAGAAGGCAACGATATTGGATTGTCAAAAGGATGGAGATGTAAATATAGGGGACAGCGAGACGCAACGGGACGAGGCACGAGGTCTTGAGTACGATGGAGTGGGCGGCAAGAATGGGGAGACTGGGGCGTTGAAACGAGAACGGGGTGCAGTCGATGAGCTGAAAGATTTGTCGGATACGAAAAAGGCCAAGCTCGATAATGAGACTGAAGCCAGCAGTCGCCGGCCTGTAGGAGAAGACCAAGACAACACAGAAACGGTGATTGATGATGCTGATGCTGATAAGAAAGTGATGGACGATGGTGCGATAAGGTACGTAGGAAGGCCTGCGCTGTTTGTGGGATGTTTGGATGCTGGCAAAAGGTAGGCTTCTGTGGTCTCACTTTGCTCATTTACCGCCACTTCGGTGGGTGATAAACGACTGCAGAGACGGTAGAAACAAGGCGACAATTCGGGTCGACAATTTCGTTCGGCCGTTCACGTTGAACGCTGTCAAGGTCAGTCGCATTTGTGTGTACTCGTGCTGCAGTTGACTGATCCGAGATTTCGTAGGCGCTCGTGCAAGAGTGTGGCCCCTTTGTGGAAGGTGGTTTCTGGATGGATGCTATCAAGACGCACTGCTTCGTGACGTACACCAGCCCCAAAATTGTCCGCGCTGTCGTTGCTGGTAGAGTGCACAGCTGGTACCTAACTATGACGCTGACTGTATGTATCACAGGCAGAAAATACTATCGCTGCATTGAACGGCAAGTTGTGGCCTCCTGAGAATGGGCGATCGCTCAAGGTCAGGCTCGTCGACCATACCGCCATGGAGGTACGAATTGCGCTGAACGTGGCCACTCTGAGTTGCTGGTGCTGAAGCTCGTTGGTTGCCTTGCACGGATCAGGTTGCACAGTTCGGCGAGGCAAATATTCCAAGCCTACCAAAGCGTGAGGGTAGTAGCGAACAAGCTCCTGCGCGGCCGGGTAAATTGGAACAAGCAACTGGTTCTGTCTGATGATGCAACGGCTAACGTGTACTGTTCGTGCAGAGGTGACAATCGACGAATTTTTTCTGAAGACGGAAACAAAGCCCGTGTTGTACTATTTGCCATTGACCGACGATCAAATTCAGCAAAAGAAAGAGCGGCTGCGGCAACCGGAAGGGCAACCACGCAAACGCCGTCATCGTGGTGGGCGCAAGAGAAACAGGCGTGCCCGTTTCCAGCGGCGCTAGCGACAACCTTTTTGCTTCGATAATTGACCGAGCGACAGTCCGCCGTCACGTGTTGTCATTTGCTACTCGACGCACCCTCGCACTGGACAGTTGCTTCGTCTTTGCGCAAAATTCGCGATACAAATCATTTTGCCTTCGGCCCAAAGATGATCGTTGTGGCCGTTCGACATCCGTTGACTACTATCCTAGAAACAAAATCAACAATTGTGCCTCCCAACATGTTTGGCCCTCATTATTCATCCTTTCGTAGACTCATACCTCCTACCATCATCCACTATGCGTATCACTTCCTACTAGCGAAGATGATATCTGCCCAGTCCGTTCATAGCTCAAAGGGAATGTCCTCGTCAGAATATAGTACATCGTGCTCGAGTCCGATCTTCGTGTCGTACAAAAGCGAGACGCAGCTGGTCGCGTATGCCTTGTCCGTGTTGAGACGCTCCAAAATGCGCAGCAGCGAGCGCACGGCAGATAGCAATTCTTCTTTCTTGATAGGATTCACATCGTGTGCATCACCAGCTCCTCCGCTTCGGCCCTCTTCGGCAGCATCACCGCCATCCGTGCCCACGCCACCGACCGCTTCACTCTCGCGCTCAATTGCCACTATCATGCGGTGGAGATTATGCAGCAGCCAGTCGTACAGAAACCCACGAGGCTTGGATTTGAACGCCTGCAATATTTCGGGGTCGTCTTCTTCCGTCGCTATGTGGATCAGATGCACCAATGTGAAGGACAGCTGTGTCTCCAACTGCTCCTTGTATCGAAATTCAGTCACATCCTTCAAGTCCGATGCAGTCTCCAGTGCATCCATCGTGGCTCGAAGCGCCAACTGGAAGAAAGAACCGAATGCGCTACGGCTTTGAGACACACGCAGCGCTGTAGCTGCACTAATGCGCACCTTGAAGTTCTCTTGCTGTGCGATGGCAGTCAGTAGCGCCTGAAACACAGACGGTGCCCACGTCGCGGACGCTAGTGGCAAGCTCGGACACAGCAGGACCTTGGCGACGGCATGGCAAGCGTTCCACCTAACCTTTGGCGAACCAGCATTAATCTTTCCAGCAAGCACAGCCATCGCTCGTCTCAATAAATCGTCCAGTGACGCAAGGCTTTTCGCATTGACGGTGCGCCGGAAGGGTGAGAAGCTGATCCAGCGACACACAAGTCCCAGTGTACGAGCTACACTTGACGCCACCTTGTCGTTGTCGTTAATGTAAATCAACATCTTCTCGACGACTATGCGCAGCTGCTTCTCCGGAAGTAATTCGTACAGCACCTGCGGAGGTAGTGGAGGCGACGCCATCGAAGAGTCCACCCTGGTCGAAAACGAAAGTGCCGCCGCTGATTGAGGTTGCACGAAGCCATCTCTTTCTGCAACCGACTCCGGGCCCGGGGTGGTGCAAACGTTGCCCAGCGCCCATGCAGCCCGAACGCGCACATTCAACGTGGAGTCGCTAAGAGCCTCCAAAGCTAAACTCACCACACTAGAGGCGAACCCGCATGTCTTGAAAGTCGGGGCTAGGCATAACGACCCAAGCAGTCGGAAACCTGCAGCCCGCACAACCGGAGAGCTATCTTTCGGAGTTTGCAGGAAAATCCGTGTGTACGAGTCAAGGCACGAAATATTGGGTCCTGATCCGTGGTACCCGCCACTTTTAGCTGCCAATACTGGAAGACGCCGAGGCTGTTTCTTCTCACCAAGCCAAGCCCAGTCCCGAGAGGACAACAGAGTGAAGCAAGCACACACACTTGCACGAACATGGTGCGACGTATCGTAAAATGCTCGCACCAAGTGTGTCGCCATTAACTCCAGGCAATCGACACGGCAAGCATCTCTCGCTTGTCTGCTCACGACCGCTGCGGTGTCAGAGCATCCATTTTCGCCCTTGATGTAATTCTCCAGTATCTTTACCGCTTGGAGGCGAACGTTGGGATCCATGTCTTGAAATGCCGATAGCATAAACTCTGATAGTCTCTTCCAGTTCATACTTAGTGCTGGTGAGTAGTTCTTTGCAATCTTCGACAAAAGGGACATCGCCTCCAAGCGCAAGAGCGTGCGCGACGGATCGTCAGGCCGTGACGCCATCAACAGAAGCTCTTCGACAAACGAATGGTGGCGCAGCAACCACGTTCCACATGCAATTGAAACGTGAGCAACCCGGATCACGCGATCTGCATCACTCGTGCGCACCATCCAATCCAGAACGGACGGGAGAGTATCTTGGACGTTGAGGAGGGCTGACATACACGACAAACTAGCCATTCTCACACCATGATCTACCGCGCGTCGGCAACACATCAAACTGTTAGTCGCAATCCTTCACCTGAGCATCGCCTCAACCACTTTCGTAACACGTACCAGTTGACGATGCTGCCACGTACAAACTCGACGCAAGTGCGTTCAAAATATCCCCTAAACTAGGCGTGAGCTCAACTTGGTCAAGAACCGTGACCACATTTCGATACGGGAAGTGCTGAATCACTGACGTAGTGCTCTGCATTGAACATCATGCACAGATAATCAGCAAAAGTCGGCCAAGCAGATCCGTATCTATCCAATGTGCGTACCTTGAGTATCTGCAACAATGGCGCGGGCTCCTTCTCGTGCTGGATGCAGTACACTAACGTGACATGCACCTGGTACAGCATCAGAGAAACTCGATTCGGCAACGACGCGAACGGCACCGGCAACGTGGCCGATGCAGTTGCACCGACTCCAAGCGGACGTCGAAAATACATTTTCAGGGGAATCTTCTCCCAGAAAGCGTCCAAGAACTTGGCAGCTGTCATGCGGGCCTTTTCGCTTGGGTCAGCGATAAGCAGAGTAAGCACGGACGGTGCATTGTTAAACAACGTCATATAGGGCGTTGTCTGCTCCGGCAAATACAACCCCATCGACGACGTGATGGCTTTGGGGAAGTGCTGCGCAATCGCTTCCAGCGTGTAAAGCACATTGATGCGCAGACGGGCCAGTAAACCGCTATTCACACACCACGATCAGCAACAAAGAAGCGAGAACAACAAAGGTGCAGTATATGCAGTCCAACTACAGCACTTACTCTCCAATCTGGCGCGGTCCAATGCAACCATCAGAGCCGCAAACCGACGAATCGGAATCGGAAGGGTGGAAATCTTCGTGACACGAAAACATCTCGTGCTTCGTATCAAACTTGAGAACGAGGCCACATCCTACAACCTGGCGCATGGAGCTGAGCAGGCTAGGCAGTGTCGCAGCGATACGATCCCCCAGGCGGTCAAAGTTCGAGTTGATGATCGTGTAAACACACTTCATGCTGGAGGTACATGCTTTCACGAGAATGCGATCGTTCTGGCCCTTCATGAGACTAAGAGCTTGTTGCCGGAAGTTCTCCACCACCACCCGCAATAACGACGAAAAGTAGTGATACACCTCGGGCGTTTTGCCCGCCTGCGTACAAATGTTCGACACACAACTCGTGGCAGCATACCGAGCTTCAATGTCCACGCCCGATGGGTCCAAGTGTTTCAGTAGAACGGCAAACAGCAGCTCAAACTCATTGCTTGCTCGATCAGCATTCTCATGCAGGACTTGGCCCAACGCGCGGATCGAATTGGCCGTGTACCAGCTCGGACACGTCTTGATAAACGTCAAAAAGAACGTCATCACCACACGCAGCTGCGCACTCGAAAACAGCACGCGCTCCTTACAGCAACACTTTTGCACCAGCCGCGTATACTCCGAGCACAGTAGCCCCGAACTCAAGGGCAATAGCTGCGCCAACGCTGTAATCAGCGACGCAACCTCCTGCTCATGTCACCACCGGAAGAACAGCACAAGTACAGCAACAACAGACCCACCCATTAGCCACTACCCCTCTCCCTCTCTCATTCTCCACATCATTCTCTACTGCACGTACGTCGCCGCGAATGCGGGGGTTCGGCAACGCCACGCCCAGCAGCTGCTTCAGCGTCTCCTCCAGCTCCACGAGCGTCAGCTGCTGCACTGCCACGTCGGCTTCTACGCGCTCGACGATCGTCGTCCAGAGCTTCCGGTCTCGACGGTGCACGCCAACATTCCAGCCACCGACAGTCGCTGGCGACGTCCCAGCCGTACCACTTGTACTCGAGCTCGTCCAGCCGCTGCTAGAGCCTGTGCTGGATCCTGGGGTGCACGTGACGGGACGCATGTGCCTTCAATGTCGTCCAGTCAGTGTCGAGCGTTTTCCGGTAGACAAACGAAAAATGGCGTTCGAGTGTGAGGCAGTCGATTGGTCGATCAATCGCTCGGTCAGTCGGTCGGTCGCTGCTCTTCTTTAACGGCCGAGAAGAAGACGAGCAACTGGAGCGGCGCGCGCGCTTAAATGTCGCGGAACTTGTCGAGCACAGGCGCAGGGAGGAGCGGATGCGCCGCGTCCCGGACGACTCCGCCGCGTCTCGGACGGCCAGCGCCTGCTGCGCGCATGGGACAATGGGTGGAGGTCCATTTTGATTGGACAATAATCCGACGCCCCGATGGACGGAAACAGAGTGATGGTCACTTTGTTGACTCGAAACTTGCTGGACAATGGCGGCGGTGGGGCACCGGGGCGGCGATGGCGCGCAAGGCGCTGCAGCGACGCGAGACGAGGGCCACCCAGTGTACGGCCAGAGCCACAAGCGTCTCTTGCCGCCTTCTGCCAATTGGTACTGCTCAAAGGTCCGTCGCGATGTCGTGCGGTCGGTCGCGTTGACTACAGTTCCTCGCGCGAAAACGCTTGTGGTTGTTAGTGGCGTTTGACTTGTTTTCGTCAGAACAACTGCTCATGTAGATATCATGGGATTGTCACGTCGGACGATCTGTCTGTCTGTCTGTCTGTTGTCTTTCTGTTGGTCCGTAGATCTGCGACTGGAGCGACAGCGACGTCTTTGGGTTGTTGTTTGCCTTTGGAGCAAAGAACAGTCTCTTTCTTTACCGCGTCGAGAGCAGGCCATACCCAACAGATCGACGCCCAGATGCAAGCTTAGGCTTAACGGTCTCGTTTTTCGCGCAGGTAGTGCGTGGGAAACGCGACCGTCGGGTGACGTCGGTGCAGTTCCTCATGAACGCGACGGGGGAGCTACGTCTGGTGTGCGGCGGCGAAGAAGGCAGCGTACAGATCTGGTGGGTCAAAGCTGAAAGATAGAGAGCAACGTGGACACTGCTGTGGTGGAAACGTAACTGTTGATGGACATGTTGCAGGGACGTGGCGTCGCTCACGATGATTGAGCAGCATCAGAAGCACAAGGCGGAAGTGATGGCGGTCGCCGCGTCTGCCACGTTGGATGCAAACGTTGTCGTGGCAGGAGATCGACGGGGACAGATTAGCGTGTGGGAACGAGAGTTGTACGTAGGATCAAGTGAAGGGGTGGAGTTGAGACAGTAGCTGAAGCGTGCTGCTAGCCAACGAGATTGAGCTAATACTGCGGTCATCGTGCATTGGTCCGTTGTTGTGACGTTTGCAGAGGAAGAGTGTCGATGTTCATGCCAATCTCAGGTGATGCAGTCCACTCAATGGCTATGTCACCGCACGACAAATCATTGGTTGCGGTGGGATATCGCAGTGGGAGGCTGTGCCTTGTGGACGTGGTTAAACGTATCGTGTGTCACCACCTATCTGGTCACGACCAGGAAGTTCAATGTGTCGCGTGGAAGTCGACGGCTGGAAGCCGTCACGGTATCGAACAAGAGGAGGAGGATGCGGGCGGTGTGCATAGTTCGTCCGAACGAGAAGTGTGGCTTGCATCTTCGTCTCGGGATAAAACGATCAAGGTGTGGAAAGTCTCTTCGAGCGGTGCGGAAGAACCAGCATGTGAGCAGGTGCTTCGGCTTCCAACGGGAAAACAGGGCATGTCATTTACCCAGACCAAGCAACTTTGGTTGCCAATAGCCTGGAGTTTGAGCTGTCCAGAGAAATCAGCTGTCAAGCATAAGCTGTGGTCAGGCTCATTCGACGGCAGTCTGTTTTGTTGGGAATGGAATGCGTTTGACACAAATACGCAGAGACGAACGGGAAACAGTCGCTGTGCGCCGTGCAAACCTGTTGTAGTCAAAGGCGGTCATAGCCGAATGCTTTTCAGCATTGCAATGGTGGCTCCTCGGGAGACCGCATCGGGAGAAAACAGAACTACATTTATGGCCACTGTTTCGCTCGATCGCGAATTGCGACTATGGAAGGAAAACGTATGCTTGGGATCTACGACAGCAGCAACCTGCATCGAGAAGATGACCGGATTGGGTGGACATGCTTACAGTGTATCGTATAATGCAGCAACCGGTCTTATAGCTGCAGGTGTTGGGGATCAGACCATTCGGCTTTGGGATATTGGTACTGAGACCGCACCGTTATCGGGTAGCTATACGTGTGACCTGTTGTGGAAAGGGTTGCAGAGCAAAGTCACTTGCGTCCAATGGCATCCGTTCCAGCACTCCTTGTTAGCTTACGGAATGGATGACGGACGCATTGGCATCTATGATGTCCAAACGAAGACGTACAGCTACTTTCGTACTAAACACGATAAGGAGGTGCAACAGCTCCAATGGGTTGTTCAAAAGCCGAAAAACGGCGGTACTTGCAACGACGGAGAAAACGCTTTCCTCACAAGTATCCGGCAATTGAAAGCTGCGCAGGTCGCAGGTCAGAGTCTCGAAAAAGCATTGACCGTTCAAGAATCCCAGTCAAACAAAGTTCTCAATGGGGATGATCTGAAGGTCATGCTGTGGAGCTGCGATGCACGCGGTGCTCTTTTGGAATCAGACGCCGACGACGTTGGCCAAAAATCTCACGAGATTGCGCTGAGTAGTACTACATTTGATTGGGACGAGCAATTTAGGCTGGTCGCTATCGGTCAAGCTGATGGTGTTGTGGAAGTTGTGGATTGGAATCAAAGTGCAATTGGTAGCGGCGTTGCGCGACGTCGCTTTCACGAGCATTTGGAGTCCGTGACGTGTCTAGCGTGGGGAAAAGGCAGTGACGGGGGCTTGTTAGCCTCTGGAGATCAAGAGGGCAAACTATTTATCTATAGCTGTCACAAATCTTCTGTCTCGCGAGAAAACGCCGGAGCTATTGTTAACTCAGACGAACTTATGCACGAGGCCAGTCTTTTTGGAACTCTGACAGGCCACTCGAACAAAATTATCAGTATAAGGTGGTGCGCCAACGAAGCTCAGTCGTCTCTAGCGTCCAGTTCGGCCGATGGAACTGTACAGGTATGGAATCCCGTGTCCTTACAGAGGAGAGCATGGTTCAACCACCACGTCGGCCGCGTCTTATCCATAGACTGGGTATCACCTTACGCGCTTGTTACAGGCGGTGAGGACCAAACGTTGCGCGTGTGGGATTATCGAGACCAGCCACAAGAAGCATTGTCCAAACTGAGAAAGCATGGCAAGGTGAAACAGCCACGGGAAGTGGAAGCATTGTTGTCTGCACCATCTGCCGACGACGCGGTCGTGGAGACCCATCAAGTCCGTACGGCCGACCGCAAACAGTCGCATCAATCATGTTTTACAGACAAGTGCAACTCGCAGCGCGAGACGAACGTAGCGTCTAGGAAGACGACAAGTGGAGTTTTCCATTCGGAAAAGAAACTCACTCCAACCGAAATTGCTTCGGCCTGTTGCAGTATAGCCGGTGTGAAACAGGCAGATGCTAGCAGAGATGTCATGGACAGCGCGGATGCAGATAAGGCGGCAACCACTTTTCTCGCTCACACTAATCGTGCGTCTCTTCGGAGTTTCTTCGATTCGGAAACCAGCCGTTTTCGAGAAGAAGGAGAGTGGGAAAGTCTTGCCAACACCTTGCTTCTACAAGGCAAAGTCATCGAAGCTTTACGAGTCGTAGCGAAGGCAAACGCTTTGACGCCGACGTGGCTTTCGTACGCCCCAGCAGCTGGTATGGATGTATGGCGTGAGATGGTGACTGTGTACGCCCACCAGCTCGGTGCTCAGGGCGATCATAAAGCAGCAGGTTCGTAGCTTCCAGTCTGCTGATATGTCAATTGCTGCCTAGTGGCTGACACCCTAACGTGTTTCATCTCGTAGCGTTTCATTTACTTAGCATTGCAAAAGTCCGTTCGGCTGTCGCTTGTTTGGTCAGCGGTGAGGCTTACAAGGAAGCTCTGGCACTTATTCGATCGAAGTTGGGACCCGGTGATCCCCTCCTTCACGACACATTGTGGAAATATGCCGACTTCCTCATCAAGCGCGGCCATCGTGAAGAAGCAGCACTGGCACTTCTGAATATTGGATCCACTAAGGCGAAGGCGAGGGCTGTACGGACGCTCGTGAACACAGGTGACATGACCTGTATTGGAGCTGCCCTGGATGTGCTTCTAGCTGTGGTGGAATGTCGAACGGAGTCTGGTGAACTGTGTGGAAGAGACCGTGAGAACGAAGCGGCGCATCTTTCATTTCCTGCAAGCCTTTTCATCTCGATCGCCGCTCAAGCTCTTGCGAAAGGGCGTTACGACATTGCAGAAAATGCGGGACAGTTACTTCAATCTTCGCTAGTCGGAGACTCGTCATCAGCTTCGCATCGGCTAACAGCGTGTCTTCTTGGTATTCCAGGAATCGTGCATCAGCATCGACTAGTCTACTGCGTACTTGCCGAAGCTGATGAGACAGCTGTGGATCACCACCGAGTCGACAGTCTGCTCCAGTTTGATGCGCCGCAATGTGTTCGCGATTTTTTCGAGCTCTTGACAAGGTCACGTGCAGATAGCACAGAGGATGACGATCGCCTGTGCGATCTATTGATGAACGAGTACGCTCCTCCATCTCTCCAGAAAGGAACACAAACAAAGCAGTGGTTCGCAAATCGTGCTGATCGTTTCTGGCTGCAAATATTGAGTCTTTGTCGGAGATGTGGGTACTGGTTCGATGCCGATGGAATCAGTCGTGTTCAGGACGCACAAGAAGCTTTGGTCGAAGCGAGATGCTTTAGGGAAGTTGAAACGGCTATGGCAAAACATGTGCGTGAATTGGGAGATGATGGCGTTTGGTTGCTACCAGTCTGTCAGAAAGTGTTACGGTTTGTGATTGACGTAATGAGCACCAGTTTTATCGGCGCTCTGGAGCATATGCGAGACACTTTTTTGCTCTTGACACAAGGCAAAACCTCGACGCCTACAAGCAACGCAAAAGCTATAGCTTCAACTTTTCATGGAGGTCAAGGTCACTTCACTGGCGCTGTACGCCTCGATGTGATGGCACTACTCTATCCGCGCGGTCTTGCGTCACCAAAAGATCTGCCACAGTGTGGTGAAATTGTGGAAGAGCAACTTGATGCGCTCACTTTATTGAGCTCAGTGTTTTTGTCGCAATGCAGACTGTTTTTGCATGTGGCATCAGCCGCGAAGGATGTCACCGACATCGGTAAACATGATGTGGATTCGCTGATTCGACTATTACTGCACCAACTTCGTGTGTGGTTCTTACATGACGAGGCTACGCCACCACTTGGTCGACATTTGCTGGATGCTGGGAATCGGTTGCAGGTAGAAGCACTGCTCAATGATGAGCTTGTGGTAGTGTGTCGATACACTAGCAGCCGAGAGGACGACGAGGGGAGCTGCGCTGATGAACAGAAAGCTGAAGCTAATCAAGGTGACGATGGTCTGTCGAGAAAGCAGGCTTTGTTCGATGACATTGACGATATTCGAGGGTGTCTTAGGTCGAGCGGTGACGGTGACGAAAAATGATCGGATGAATGTTTGGAAGTCACCATGGCCCGAACAGAGCAATTGCTAGCTTCTCAGGCACTGAATGGACCGCACTTTTCTATTGTGCCATCGCGCTTGGGCTTGTCGACATCCTGCTCGTGCATGATCTGTATGACTTGCAACAGTTGTCTCTGGTTTTCGACGTCTTCTCTGCGGTACAGATATTGATCACTTTATCTCGATTGTGGCAGTACACCGTTCCTTTGGGAAGTATATTTTAAATGTAAACAAGTCAAGTGAGCTCGGAGTTAGTCATGCGGGATCGCGTTGTGCTACCTTTTGCCCTTGGTCACTCCCGCCACCTTCACCTACTATCTTCATCACCAAAGCTTCGGCAATCGCAGCTGTACGTCACGCTAGTTCGCATTTGTAAAGGATTCGTCCCCCATACCGCCATCGACGCTACCAGTGTCGATGCTAGCCGCATACTTACTGGCAAGCTCCAGGTCAGCCTTCAGCTGCTCCATGCCTGATGACAGCAGCTTCCACAGATCCGGCGCTTGACCTTGTCCTCCCGCTGCCAACTCGTCATCTTCCGGAAGATCCGTGTACTGCGACAGCTGCTGCGTGAGACGACAAGCACGCGCCGACAGCACATTGTTTTCCGCCTGTAGCTCAGCAAGCTTCACGCGAACCTCGTCGAACGCATTCGTCTCCGCAAAGCGAGTCTGAGCTAGATGCTCCAACTCGTCTCGAAGCAAACCATTTTCGTGCGCGATGCGGTCGATCTCGTCGCGTGCTTCCTGCTCGACGTGGCGCGTAAACTCCCGCACACGACTGATCTTGTCCTCGCTGTCGCGGGACAGCTCTTCACAGTATGCCTTGGACTTCTGCAGCAAGCCTTCCAAGTCCCGGTTCGTTTCCTCTAGCCTCTGGTTCATGCGTTTATGCTCATCCAGATCCTCACGCAAATGTGCTCTTTCTTTATCCAAACCGCGCAACTGGTCGACTTCCGCTTCTAGCGACGCTTTTTCTTGCGTAGTCGCATGTAATTGCGCACGAATCTGCTCCAGCTCGTACCGAGAGCGATCCGTCGTCGCCTTCAACTCACCATGGGCCTGACGAAGGTGTTCACATTCAGCATTGAGCTGTGACAGCCTCTGCTCCGAACTCTGCCTGTCTGCCTTATAGCGACTGACAAGGTCCTCGAGTTGCGCCACGTCCTTCTGTCTGCGCTGAGTTACAGTAGCAACCTCAGCGTCCTTATCGCGGAGTGCCTGAGTAGCATCTGCGTGTTGACGCTCGAGGTCAGCATGCACCACTTTCAGCTGCTCAAGTTGACCGCGTGCCACCTTCTGCTGACTGTCGGCTTCGTCTCGCATGCTTTGGATCTCGGACACCAGCGAGAGGTTCTTCTTCGTCAGCGACTCGACCAGTCTCTGTGTATCGCCATGCTCCGCACGCATCGCATTGACTTGCTTCTCAGTTTGCATTACCTTGGCACGGGCCTGCTCCAGTGAATGCGTAAGGTCGTCATTCGAACGTTGCAGCTCGCTTGCCAAGGACTGGGCGGAAGTAAGCTGCGCTGCCGCCTCTTCGTACAATGTCTTCAGCTTCTTTTGTTCATCATTAGCTGCCATGCGCTCCGAGCACACCATCTGCAATTCCGCAGCAACCTTGTCCTTAGCTTGTACCGCGTCCTGCAACTGTTGAGTCAAAGACTGCTCCCGATCGTTGAAGTGATGGATCTTTTGTTCCAAGCTTGTAATCTCACTCTGGGCACGATCGAGCTCATTGCGAGATACAGACGACTGCTTAGCTGTCTCAGCTTCCTGTTGAAGACTCTCATACTTCTCCTGCTTAGCCCGCAGTTCAACTTGAGTCTTCTCCAACTCTTCCATTGTAGATTCTAAGCTGGACTGGAGCTCGAAGGACCCTTCCATGTTCTCCTGTGCCATCTCCTGCAAGTTTTGTAGCTGTTGCTCCAGTGACCTCTTCTCACTCGTATAATTGCTCACAAGACCTTCCAGTTCGTGGATCCGTGGCTGTAACTCGTTGATATGACACTGAGACCGGGCCAGCTCCGCAGACAAAACATCTTTTTCTGACCGAACTTGGTTAAGCTCGTTCTGAACCACAACAGCATGCTCATCCCTTTTTGACGCAGCAGCAGAGATCTCCCGCAGCCCAACCAACTCGCGCTCAAGATTTACTTTCGTATCTTCGGCTTCGACAAGACTCTTCTGCGCCTGTATCAGCGAATCATGAGTTTGCTGCAGTTGGCCGGCGGTATCGCGTAAGCGCTCGACATCGTCAGAAAGTGCGGCGTTCGCTGCGCGAAGTCTAGCTATCTCCTGGTCCTTTGCGAAAAGCGCTTGATCCTTTTCAACAACGCTCGCCTCTAAAGAGCGAAGCGAATCCAGCTCCTGTCCAAGGTTGTTCAGCAAAACCTCGTCGGCTTGCTTTTCTTCAGCCAGAGCGCTGTACGCGGATCGAAGGCGATCAAACTCGGTCGAAAGAGCGCTGTAATTCTGCTCCAAGTTTGACACGTGCTCCGCTTTCTCGTTCGCAGCACGCTGAGCTTCTTGCAGCTCCTGCTCTAGTGCTGCAACGCGTTCTTCCAGTGAGTGCTTCACAACACCTGCACTTTCCTGCTCGTCGTCACCCTCAGACTGCACGGAAGACAGCATTTGGTACTGTTCCTCCAGCCAAGCGTTGCGGTTGTTCAAGTGCAAGTTCAGCTCCATTGACTCGGTCAGCTCGCGTTGAGCAGTAGCAACCTGCTCGGTCAGCACACCAATAGCGCCTTCACCACCTCCGACTACCACAAATATGTCATCGTCTTCTCCCGAAGCCACACCTACTTCATCATCGGCAGCGCGGCTCTCTTTCTCAGTCTGCAACTCCATGATTTGGTGGTCTTTTCGACCCAGCTGTACCTGCAGCTCTTCAAGCTGGCTTTCTAACTCGGCCACCTTGTTTTGTAGCCCATTTTGACCTGACAACGCATATTCTCGAACCTCCGCCTGCTCGGTCATGGCTTGGGTAGACGCGAATGCAATCTGCTGCTTTAGCTCCTCATTCGTCTTCCACAGCTCAACGCAGTCGTGTTTATAGTCTTCCAGCTCCTGCGCCTTTTCGGCAGCAAGTGCTTCTTGCTCCCGTGCGCGCTTCTCCAACGCCTCCAGCTTTTGTTGGTCGCCAGTCTGCGCTTGCTGCCCCTTACGCTCATGCTCACAAACAACATCCTCCAACTCCTGCCGCACTCGTTCAAGTTCTTTAGCGTTCATCTCATCTCGAGACAATACCTCCTCCAGCTTTCGTTGCAGCTCCGCCTTGGACGCCTCAACTACACCCAGAGCGTGCTCTTTCTCTGCCAAAGATGCACCAAGCTCTGCCTTCTGCACTGCGGCGGTCTGCGCCGCCAGCTCCTTCTCTTTCAGCTGCTCTTCAAAGTCACTCATTTGCTTCTCGTACTCCTCTCGAACTTCACTGACTTGCTTATCCTTTGCCTTCAAGCCATTTCTCAGCTCTTTCAGCTCCTTCTCCTTTTCTTGAAGCTCAGCCTCCAACTCTTTCTTCACATCAGCCAGCGCATCACTACACAACAACAACAACAACAACAACAAAAATAACAACAACATCAGTCTCGCTAACCTTTCCTTTTCTCTCTTCCGCAAACACAGTGCAAAAAAAGATGCCCCACCGCATGTCCGTGATATCCTGCACCTTCTCCATTAGCATAGGCTCCGACGTAAACTCGACTTTATATTGCAGCTGCACGTTCTGATCTTTAACATCCTCCACCTGTTGCTTCAGCTCTGCAATCTGCACCATCAACAGCTTTCTCTCCTTCTCCATCTACATCATCAACAACAACAACGCCACCAACGCAACAACAGCACCACAAACAACAACAACAACAACAACAAAAGGTCAGCAAAACACAACACCTCCCACTACCAACACCTGCTCTCGCCCCTCCCCCCTCCTCCTCTCTCTCTCTCTGCGTCGACCGCCACTCACTTGATCCACCAGCGTCTTCTTTTCAAACTCGTGCTGTCCGACTTTCACCATCAACTTGTTCAGTCGCTTGAGCAGCATGGCCATCGCCGTGTCCTCGCTCTCCTCCCGTCGACTCATGTGCTTCACTTCAATCGGAGCGCCCACGTGCGGATCCACAACAGGAACAAGCGGTACAGGAGACGCAACGGGCGTCACGGGCGGCGTCGGGGCCTTTGGCAACAGCGCGTGCGCCTTGGCGGCGGCGGCGGCAGGTGCACTCGCAGCTGCTACGTCTCGCTCTTCCTGCTCTTCTTCTTCGGCTCGCTCGGGGTCGCCAAAGAGCACGGTCCACATGTGTAGCGCTACGCCACTGGAAGCGACAGCGTGAGTACCCGGAGCGACGACGGCGGACGTTGCGTCAGAATGCGGGGAGGACGGCAGGGACAACGACGACGGGGTGAAAATACCGGTCCGATGCCCCGATCATATGCTGGATGGCAGGGCGAAGCGGTGGTCCACACCACAAACGTGTCGCCCGCAACGGTCCGTTCTGCTTGTCCTTGAAAGTGCTTTTTTGCACCACATCAGCAGGCGAAGCGTGGGGGTGGGGGGTGGGGGTGGGGCACTCGTCCGTCTCGCCACATGCCTTGTCCGAGACGGTACCAGAACAACGGCACATTTCGTGCCCGCGCAGAACCAACCAAAGCGACGAGCGTTTTGACGTTGACACTTCTACTGGCTGTACGTAACAACGCTCGCCACTCGTTGATTGTCTCTTGCCGCCGCGCCAGCTCCGTCGCGACCGAGAAGAGCCCCATCATGGTCGTCTACAACTTTAAGAAGATCCAGACCGTGCCGACGGCCAATGACTTCATTGACATTGTGCTCACGCGCACGCAGCGCAAGACGCCGACGGTGATCCACCCGACGTATGCCATCTCGCGGATCCGTGCGTTTTACATGCGCAAGGTTAAGTTCACGCAGCAGACGTGCCAAGAGAAGCTCAGCCAGATCATTGACGACTTTCCGCGCTTGGACGACCTCCATCCGTTCTACGCCGACCTGATCAATATCTTGTACGACCGGGACCACTACAAACTTGCGCTCGGTCAAGTGAACACGGCACGAGCTCTGATCGACAACATTGCCAAGGACTACGTCCGCATGATCAAGTACGGCGACTCGCTCTACCGCTGCAAGCAGCTTAAGCGCGCGGCGCTTGGCCGCATGTGTACGTTGCTCAAGAAGCAGAAAGCGTCACTCGAGTACCTCGAAGAGGTGCGCAAACACTTGTCGCGTCTGCCATCCATTGACCCGAACACCCGCACGCTGTTGATCACGGGCTTTCCGAATGTCGGCAAGTCGAGCTTCATGAACAAAGTCACGCGGGCCGATGTTGACGTGCAGCCCTACGCTTTTACGACGAAGGCGCTGTACGTTGGCCATCTCGACTACAAGTACCTTCGTTGGCAGGTGATTGATACCCCGGGGATCCTCGACCACGCTCTCGAGGATCGGAACACTATTGAGATGCAGGCAGTCACGGCGCTAGCGCACTTGCAAGCGTCCGTCTTGTTCTTCATGGACATTTCCGAGCAGTGTGGCTTTACGATTGAGCAGCAGCTGAGTTTGTTTGAGAACATCCGACCGCTGTTTGCAAACAAACCGCTTGTGCTTGTGTGCAACAAGATTGATCAGATGCGCTTCGAGGCTTTGTCAGAGGAGCACAGGAACATGATAAACACGGCAGTAGACGAGACCAAGGCCAAGTTCTTTACAATGTCGAATCACTCGGAGGAGAACGTCATGGAAGTCAGGAACTATGCTTGCGACGAGCTGCTGTCCCACCGTGTGAACTCGAAGGTTAAGGGCAACAAGGTGGCCGACGTGCTGAACCGTCTCAGCGTTGCCATGCCGGTAGCCCGTGATGACGTGCAGCGTGAGATTACGATCCCAGCAAGTGTCATTGCGGCACGCGAGAAGCCAACCAGCGCGATACCGCGTACCCTACTGAAGGACAAGATGAACGCAAACGGTGGCGCTGGAGTGTACTCGTTCAACTACAAGGAGCACTACAGCGGTATGCTTCGCAGCGAGGACTGGACACAGGACGCTATTCCTGAGATCTGGAACGGCAAGAATATTGCCGACTTTGTGGATCCAGAGATTCTCAAGCGCCTTGACGCTCTCGAGCGGGAGGAAGACGAGGCCATGGCGAACAACGTTCCCATGGACGAAGATGAGGACATGAGCGACCTGGACGACGAGCAGAAGGACAAGGTCGCTCGTATTCGCGAGAAGAAGGCCATCATTGTCGCTGCGCACCGTCAAAACAAAAACAAGAACCATTCCAGTGTTGCGCGCAAAGTGCTTGCCAAGCGTCGCACGTTGACCGACACGAAAAAGGAGCTGGAGGCGCTTGGCGTGGACACAAGTCACATGAAGCACGCCGAAGCCGTTGTGGCAAAGCGAAAAGCTGACGATGAAAGCCGTGGCCGTAAGCGCAATCGCGACGACATGGATGTGGACATGGAGGACGCGACCGAAGCCTCCGACTTTCGTGTGCGTGCTCGCGCCAAGTCAGCACTGCGGTCCAAATCCAAGAATCGCTCCCAGTCTCTTGTTGCGCCGCGTGACCAGTCGGGTTTCGGCGACGAGGCTTCAATGGCTGCTGTCAAGCGTGCCACTCGGCTCACGCAACGCAAGGCTGCCAAGATGGGCCGCGCTGGTGAGGCAGATCGGATATCGGTTCCGAAGCTGGCGAAGTGGCAGAACTCGGGCAAGCGTGGCCAGGGCAGCACGAACTCTCGTTGAGCTTGGACGAGGGTTTGCTGCTTCTTCACTGTTTGCGCTGTCGTGAGGCGGTGGTGGAGAGATGGAGGAGAAGAACATTTGTTTCGGTCGTATCTCGTACTCTCCTTGTACCTTCTGAATACATTCTGCTTTGCTTCGATGATGCGCCTTGCCGAGGTATCTCGTCTGTACGCTGATTGTGAGCTAGTGACGAGGAGCGTATTGAACTCGCAACAGCTGACGTTTGTAGACTCTCTTCAAAGCGTCTCTTTTCTCATTTGGCTGATCGTGTCCGGAAGGCTGGATACATCTAAGACTTTAGTTTGTGCAGACGTGGGAAGTAATGTGAAATCCACAATTTCCACAGGTGAAAGAAGACGGCGTGGAAGATGCAGACTCTGCTGGCTTGTTCATTTGTGTTCGTGTGTGTGTGTGTGTTGCATTACTCTAAGTTACGTGCGGGTTCATTCATCCCCAACGTGGTAAGTTGACTACCGCTGGCATGTTATGCTGTGGGACAAGTCGGTACCTACGCTGATAAAAATGCCAGTCTACCACGTTCAGAACTTTAGGTACAACAAGAGTGCAGGCAGTACACGAGTAAGATGGAACAAGCTCGTTGGAGAGGGCAATAGAGAGAAAGGCACGTTTGGTTGTGTTGAACTGCTTCCAATTGATACAAATGCATGAGTTGTATGACTTACAAACATCATTACTTCATTTACCACTGACTGCGTCAACCCGTTACGACGTGCACACATTTTCACCACATAGCGTTGACCTTCTTTTTCCAATATTGACCCGCCAACTCGATGAGAGCCCAGAGGTTCTACTGGACACATGCCTGCTTGGCTGAGACATTGCTACCAAGTATGGATGAGTAGAGGTGTGTTTTGCCTAGTAGGTACAATGACAGCCATGGTCTCTCGAAGCGACCGGGGATGTTAGACGTGCGCTCGAGTACAACATGGCGCGAAAACGCGCGGCTGACGCCATCGAGTCGGGATGCGTAGAGATGAGACGCCGTACGCTGCCTGCGACGTTGCGATGGACTGCGAAACGGAACGAAAGCTGTACTGTGCAAACTCATTGACATTTGCTTAAGGGAACGGCTGGCAAGACGCTCCTAGCAACGCTTTATTTTCGCGTCGTACATGTTTTCGTGACTGGCTGCACTTCACGGCGTCCTACTCGCAAAAATACCGACAGCTGATGAAGTGGTGTACCTGCCAATATCATCTTGCTGACATCTTTCCCTGGCATGATAGCAGTCGAATGGCGGCTCGTTAGATGAACATACACCACTGTAGAAAGATGCTGGTTTCGTTTGTCCCCCTTGTTCATAGTTTCCTGCTTGTCATGTACGCCTAGCATGTCGACTGCTCGTCAAAAGTAATCAGCAAGACGCGCAGTGCTTTTCTTTTCGCGTAGGTCTAACTAAGGGTATCAAGCTCCCAGTTAAAAAAAACTTACATCCCTGAATCGTGTTCTACACGCTTTATCAAAATGTACAATTTACAACAGCGCATCAATTCGGGGCCATGACGCCCGATGTGCGCATTAATTGACGGAATGAGGCCACTACAACTCAAGCCTTGACTAGTTCCCATCCCGTGGGGACTTTGGCTTCGTACCGATTGTGTGTCCGGACAATACCGCAGCATTGAATTGACAACGCCGGGCCCGTTCGAACGAAATCCCAGTAGTGTTGCATTACATTTCGCTTGTGGTAAGTGTGCCCTGAGTTACAGTGTGGATGTAAAGGGATGATGAGCCCTTTACATGTAGTTGAGACCAAATTGGGTCAATGAGAATGTTCTCGTAATCGATAACGTTCTCCGATACTTACTTTGCCAAGAAAATGCCGAAGGAATATCACCGTCAAAGGTAATATGCGGCACTGCCCCACTTATTGATTGGTTTAGGCCATTTGGTCAACCAACTACACCACCAATCGCTTCTATGCGTGCGCAATGGGTGGTAGTGAGCAGGTAGCTATGGTAGGAACTTGCTGTTTACTATGGTTTTAGGTCCGACTAAAAAGCCATATTCTTAGACACTTTGTCAATCGACTAAAAACCGTTCCACTTTCTCCTCTGCTTGGCGTGAATTACTAATGAGCATTAGTAATTCACCTTCCTCCGCGCGTACAGTGTACTTGAGGTTTCGAGGCACCCGTCTGCACTGTGGTCAGTATAGGTAGTTGTCTGTAGTCAGTGTAGGTAGCTTGCACAATGCCAGTACAAGCATCGGTGCCCCAATCCACCCTGTGACGCTTCGTGTTTCGTGTAATGGTCACGGATGTTCGAGGCTACATGAATTTTTCGTATAAGTAAAAGAATAGTTTGGACACCACGCTTGAAGACTTCTCCAATTTTAGCGAAATTGAATCGAAGGCGGTTTTAAAAATTGGCGGGCCCGTCATCAACGCCGTTTAGTTCTTCGAAAGGAGAGGTGGCAACGTGTCGCGATCGCCAAGTTTATCAAACGTACACTCGACGCGTCACTGGATCGCGTTATCTAACTTCATCATAAAATTTCTCAATAGGAAGATCCGTTAA